CTGAGCCTGGGGGTGCTGAGCTTGAGGGTGCGGAGCCTGGAGGTGCTGAGCCTGAGCGTGAGGAGCCTGGGGGTGCTGAGCCTGAGGGTGCGGAGCCTGGAGGTGCTGAGCCTGGGCGTGAGGAGTCTGGGGTTGCTGAGCCTGGGGGTACTGAGTCTGGGGATGCTGCGCCTGGGGGCACTGAGGCGCCTGGTGAGCAGTCTCCTTGGAGTGGCCGCCTCCGTAGTCGCTCCGCTGGTGCCTCGCCGCAGCACTCCCGTCGGCGTGTGCCTCTCTCCCCACATCAGCTTCGTGAGTGGTACGTTAGTCGTCAGGGTCGCGCTACTGGAGCTGGGGGCCCTGCTGTGGGAGGCGCTGGCGTTGGAGGCTCTGGAGCTGGTGACTTTGCTACTGGAGGCGCTTCTACTGGAGTTACTGGAGCCATTGGTCCCGGAGGTGCTCGTACTGGAGGTACTAGAGCTGCTGGGGCTGGAGGTACTACTGGTTCTGGGGGTGCTGCTACTGGAGACACTGAGGCTGGAGACTCTGGGGCTGGAGGTGCCGGTTCTGGGGGTGCTGCTGTTGGTGGCGCTGGTCCTGGAGGTGCTGGCGCTGGAGGTTCTGGAGCTGCTGGAGGTGCTGGTACTGGAGGTGCTGGCGCTGGCGGTTCTGGAGCTGCTGGAGGTGCTGGTACTGGAGGTGCTGGCACTGGAGGTTCTGGAGCTGCTGGAGGTGCTGGTACTGGGGGTGCTGGCGTTGGAGGTTCTGGAGCTGCTGGCGGTGCTCGCGCTGGAGGCGCTGGAGCTGGAGGTTCTGGAGCTGCTGGAGGTGCTGGAGCTACTGGTGCTGGTGGCACTGCACAGCCGCGACTGTTCTTCGCTCCGCCGTCACCTTCGTCTCTACCACCGCCTGACTCCGTGCTTCGCCAGATTCTTAGCCTCCCGTCTTCTACGGGTCTTCCGTTACAGCCTGGCTCCCCTCTCCCTGCTCCTTCTCCTTACACTGAGCAGACATGAGGTCTTGCTGAGCGTCGTGAGCCTGCGTCTCGTCCCGTCTCGCCTGTTCGCACTGTCCGCACTGGTCGTACTGGTCGTCGTGTTCCTCGTGAGCGTCCGCCGGCTGTCCCCGGCACGCACCTCATGGCCCTACGTCCTTCCTCTGCTCCGCAGCGTGTTCCCCTACCGTCCCCCCCTGCGTCTTCTCTGCCTGACGTTCCAGACCCCGAGTCTGACCGCGCTCGTGCTGCTTCCCCTACTGTCACGCGTCTACTTGCCACTGTTGTCATTGACCTTTCGTTTGAGTCCACTGCTGCGTCTACTTTAGTCGCTGAACTTGTTGACTTTGCTGCTGCTTGTTGTCTAGACTACGCTGCTAGTCTTGTTGCTGAGTCTGAGTCTGTCTGCCCTCCGTCCGTCGGGGGTGAGTGTGCTCTTGGCACGGACGTCCTTGAGGACAGGCAAGAGGCTTTTGAGTGTCTTGCAGCTGCTGTACCTCATCTCGTGGCCATGCTGCTTGCCCCTGAGGGAGACCCGGATGCTCCAGACATCCCGACCCCGCGCTCTTACGCTGAGGCGATCGCGGGTGAGTACTCCTCTCAGTGGCAGACAGCCATGGACGCAGAGATGGTATCCTGGAAGTCCACAGGCACTTACGTCGATGAGGTTCCCCCTCCTGGGGCGAACATCGTCGATGGCATGTGGATTTTCAGGGTGAAGCGGCCGCCGGGTTCTCCGCCTGTCTTCAAGCTCGTTACGATGCACGAGGCTTCAGTCAGCGACAGGGAATTGACTTCTTCCAGACCTTCTCCCCCACCCCGAAGATGACCACTCTTCGGGTGCTGCTGCACGTCGCCGCTCAGCGTGACTACGAGCTTCACTCTCTCGACTTCAGCACAGCGTTCTTACAGGGCAGTCTGCACGAGGAGATCTGGCTGCGCCGCCCACCTGGCTTCACTGGGTCGTTCCCTTCTGGTACCCAGTGGAGCCTCCGTCGGCCGGTCTACGGTCTCCGCCAGGCGCCTCGTGAGTGGCACGACACACTGAGGACGACGCTTGCGACTCTTGGGTTTGGCCCTTCGACTGCTGACCCGTCGCTGTTTCTGCGCACCGACACTTCGCTGCCGCCGTTCTACATCCTCGTGTACGTCGACGACTTGGCCTTTGCCACTGCTCACACTGAGGCTCTCGCCCTGGTGAAGTCGGAGCTGCAGAAGAGACACACGTGCACAGACCTGGGTGAGCTGCGCAGTTACCTTGGCTTGCAGATCACCCGGGACAGAGCACGCTGCACCATCACACTGACTCAGCCACACATGGTGCAGCAGGTCCTTCAGCGCTTCGGCTTCACCTGGTCCTCGCCACAGCCCACTCCTCTGGCTACAGGCCACTCGCTCTCAGCTCCACCTTCGGACGAGTCCGTAGAGCCGAGTGGTCCGTACCCAGAGCTAGTGGGCTGCCTCATGTACCTGATGACCTGCACTCGACCTGACCTTGCCTACCCTCTTGGCCTTCTGGCTCGCTACGTGGCTCCTGGTAGGCACCGAAAGGTGCACATGGATGCTGCTAAGAGGGTACTGCGCTACTTGTGCAGTACATCGGGCATGGGGCTCGTGCTTGGAGGACGGGGTGACGTTGTCCTCACTGGACACTCTGACGCGTCTTGGGTTGACGACCTGGCTACGCAGCGGTCGTCACAGGGTTACACCTTCAGCCTTGGCTCCGGCTGTGTTTCCTGGCGGTCTACACGCTCGTCTTCTGTTCTCAGCTCCAGTTGTGAGGCTGAGATCTACCCCACAGCCATGGCTGCACAGGAGTTACGCTGGCTCACCTACCTGCTGACTGACTTGGGAGAGCGGCCTCGTTCTCCTCCGGTTCTGTACGTAGACAATAAGGCCGCCATTGCCTTGTGTCAGGAGCACAGACTGGAGCACAGAACGAAGCACATCGCTCTGCGTTACTTTCTGGCTCGAGAGTTGCAGCAGCGTGGTCAGCTTCGTCTTGCTCACGTGGCCACTCGGGCCAACACTGCTGAAATATTCACCAAGGCACTTCTGTCTGGTGATCATCAGCGCTTTTGTTCTTTGTTAGGTCTTGTGCGTACGTTTCCTCACTTGCTGTAGGCTTTGCTTGTACTGTGATCTACATATATATACCTGCATGCTTACTCTTGCTGGGTAGTGATCACTGTACTGCTGTTGTTGCATATATACCTCTGCATGTGAACTGGCCTTGTGGCCCTCTGCTTGTGCTCGGTGTGTGTGGTGACGTTGTGATTCACCCCGAGCTTGCTTTGCTTTTCTTGACAGGTCTTGTGACCCCTTGTTCTCCCCCACTTTGCCTATGGGGGTGTGTCAAACTATATGCCTATGTTATGATGATATGTAGGCTTTAGTGGGGTAGCTAATGTAGGGTATAGGTTTTGTTACTTGTACCCAACTCTCTCGATAGTCATCACACCTTTTCTTCCCTTTACTTTCAACACTCAGAAGACCAAGGATACTGTGGGGACTCGGGAGCCTTGCTGCCCAGAATTATGGTGGGTTGAGTGGAAGAGGGGTCTAACAGGTAGCTAGGTAAAGCCTTCGTTAGGACATTGTATTGTATTGTGATCTGTGCCAAGCTTGAATACGTATGTCCCATCCCATCCCATCGTATTGACCACTATTGTCATCAAATATCCATCGTCTGGCTTAAAACAGTACTAGGCAGCGGCATGGTGTTGGCTGGGCTGGGTGACAGGGGATGATGCATGGGACGGACGGAGGGCAGTGGTCAAGCACAAGTGGGTCTGTGTGTGGGGGGGAAACAGAGATGCGCTTGCAGCTATGCCACCCTGACGAGGCAAGTAAGAGATTTTGATTCACCATATAGCCCGTGCTCCGTAAAAGACAACAGATTCCAGACTGCAATGGAGAGAAGCTGCCATAACTGCATCTCCTTATTGCAGCCACGTTCCACCCAGCCGTTGCTGGTTACTATTGACTCATCTTCTGCTGTAGTGCGACACCCATCTGTACCCCTTTGTGCTCGAGAGGATTATGCTGTTACTGAGTGATGGGCAGGCATGAGCGAGGGGCAAGCAGGAGCGGGAAGGGACTGAGGCAAGAGAATGTGATTCGGACACGACAGTCGCGAGAAATGTGCAGTATGGGATGACCTATGGGATGAGGTATGGATGAGGTGTGAGATGAGGTGCGGGATAAGTTATGAGGTTGTGTCTTTAACACCGTTAACATGTACATCCAGAACGTATACTCCGAAACATATGGGTGTTTGCATCAACTTCTGTTTATTCAGGCACCTATTACGATATCAGGAGCACTCAGAGCTCCACTCACATCTAAGTGAACTTGAACGCGTTGGACACGAGATCAATGCAGCAGTCCAGCGGGTAAAAAGGGGATCCACTTGCTCTTATACGAAGGGCGAACAACTCCTTGAATCGCCCTCATTGAATCCAAGCATGTGCGGGTTGATGCGGTTGTTGAGCTATTGGTAGAAGGGAGGGGGGATGGTACAAAGGGGAAAAAAGGGGGGCGGGAGAACGAGGATTGGTGGCGGGAGCGGGAGAAGGAAAAAAATGAAAGGGCCATTAGAGAAGGAAAAAATGTGGAGTGGTGAGAAGGTCAAAAGTGGGTCAGAAGTGGGTCAGAAGTGGGTGCGAGTCGATGCGGTTGACCAGCTCGTGTGGGGGATTTGAAGGGACTTGAGGCGTAGAAAATAGTGGTAAGAAGAGAAGTGTGAGGGCAGCTGGTAGGGAAGGCCCACAATGCCCATCAATGCTCCCTCACATTCACATGTACGTCTGATGATCTCAGCTTCAACAAATGAGTCACGAGGCACAACAACAGATGCAGCACCTCTCATCGCGCTACCACTGCCCTTAAGAGCCATTCTTTAACCTCACCACCCATCACCCCCCATTAGCACTCACCTGAGGGCATCTCTGCTGCATCAACAGAGAGCAGCGGCGTGACCTCCTTGGTGGGGCATAAGGGCTCCGGCCCTCTTGATCGAGCTAATTCAGGTGAATGTGATGGGAGGAAAAGGGGAGGGGAAGGTGAGGGGAAAGGGCTTGGAAGGGGAAGGGAAGGTGAGGGAAAGGGACGAAAGGGGAGGGGATGGAGAGGGGAAGAGAAAGGTGAGGGAAAGGGGAGGGAAAGAGGACGGAATTGGGAGGGAAAGGGAAGGGGAAGAAGAGGGAAAGGTTAGGGAGACGACAGGGAAAGGGGAAGGCAAGGAGAGGGAAGGGGAGGGAAAGGGAGGAAAAGATGAGGGAAAGTGGGTTGTTGCCTGGTGTATGAAATGGACGAAAGGTACCTCCTCCCAGTCAACCATGCACTGGTGTGGTGGCATATACACACAAATGGCATGCAAAAACCATGCATTGCAAACCATCACGCGAACAACACACCGTGCACACAAAATGTATATACCATGCACATTCAAACACCGTGCACACACCATGCACACACCATGCGCACGCCATGCCACGCCATGCCACACCATGCACATGCACGCATGTTCACTCCCCCCCCCCCACACCACACCCCTCCCCCCTCCCGCTTTATCCAACGGCCCACCCCGTTCACCATACATCGGGGTGCGGATTTTGTGGCTCATATTCCTCAGGATGGTGCGCTTGGTGTCCCTTGCCACCTCCGCTGCCTCATTGGCTCGCCTCAGCTGCTCCCCGTGCCTCATCGTCTCTGACAGCTCGTGCCACGTGCCCACCAACACACGCTGTTAACGCCAGTGGGCAGGAGCTGCTTCTGAGAGCGGGAAGAGAGGGCGGGAAGGAAGGATGCGTGGGGGAGGGGAAGGGGTATGAAAGCAGGGCATCAAGGCATGAGCACACAATTACACGGTCCACACCAAGGCACATTAGCTGGGTGTGAGAGGGAGAAGGACAGGGAGGAAGGACGGGGGTGGGAGGGGACGGGAGAACGCAAGGCAGCAACAATCATTCACTACACTATACATGGGATACAACATACATACTCCACACAGTGAATGACCACACTATCTGCTTGGTACTAGAAATGTAAAAGTAGAGGCAAACGGAAGACCACCCGTAAGCAACAGGCTATCGCCTGGCGTAAGAAATGTATACGCGGATGTATTGAGCATGATCATTTGCCCTGTGCCTCACTCATTCGCCCTGTGCCTTACTCATTCGCCCTGTGCCTCACTCATTCGCCCTGTGCCTCGCTCACCTGTACCGTGTTCCACTCTCTTCGCTCCTGCTCCACTCACATCATTTTCGCCATGATGGCATCAACCATGCCGTGGGCGGCACACGTGATGTTCTGAGCATTTGGGGAAGGCCCATACGGTGCACCCATCGCTCCGATTTGCCAGCCCTTGAACGCCCTCCCCCACGCCCATCGCGAAAGTGTGAGGCCCGAAAAGTTGCGGACTAGCAACTTCAAAGTTGCTTTTCCGCAGCTTTGGTTTCGGAGAAAAAAAGTCTAGGTCAAAGGCTTCTGTGGCGGGGTGACTTTCGAAGTTGCGGAAAAGTGACGACAAAGCTTTAAAAAAATGGCCATATTGCAACCACACGACACAACTAAAAGGTGACATCTGAAGTGACATTTGTCTGAAGGTCTTGGGCTTTAAGTCCCTTTTGCCACCCCTTTGCCACGTGGGCGCCTGAACGCCACGTATGTGGATATTTCCTGCCAGCTGTCAAGGTGAATAGTGGACGAACAAATGCCACGTGGACCAGTCAGATTTCGGGACGCATATTGGCGCATGCAATATAATTTGTGGAGACAATTGAGTTGAGCATGTACATCTAGAATTTTTTTTTTTTTTAAGTACATTTTAATACAACAGACCTGACAAAACGCCCTAACACCATAATCAACATGATCTGGCACAACTAAATAATATAAATGCAGGCACTTCAACAGAATCAAAACATTGCCGCCCTTTCAACCACTTGAGTCTGGAGTTCTGAAACACACGTAAAATCAGAAACACAATCCAACGAAGACAAGGAGTAGTACCTGCAAAAACTGATGTTAGCCAGGCGAGTACAAATTTAGTAGTAGACATACCTGCGGCCACTTACCTGTCTGCCGCAGTGGACTACAAATACTTGTGCCGTTTGATAAGTCAACATGTTTACGAAATACATCGACATAAATACAAGGTCGCGCAAATGAGGAGCGCACCACACGACGTTAAGAAAATACACATCTGCACACAAAGCGACATAATTCGACCAAGACAGAACGCACTCCCAGCGTTGCCCTCCATTCCGTGCACAGCACGGTACGTCATGAGTTAGGCAACAACAACAAAAAAGAAACAAGGTGTCGACGTACCGATAAAGGACCGTCTCAGTGACTCCGAACACCCGTTGTACGGTTGTAAAACGGCTCCCGACCTCCAGTTAAATTTGGACTTCAACCTGGACAATGGCACAAGGAAAAAAAAAAAAAAAAAAAAAACGACGCAATAAGACTTTAGGAGAAAACGAGAATACTTAGGGAAGACGGAGCTGATCGTGGCAGAAAAGATTGATGCAAAGAAGAGCAGCGCGCCTAGTAACCAGAGAAAAACGTGAAGATTTGAGAAGAAGAGCTGAAAATGAGACACAAAGCTAGGAGGAGGTAGAAGAAGGGTTGGTTGGGAGCACATTCGAGAGGTTCTAGGTTCAGAGCTGACGTGGAGATAAGGAATCATGCTGATTGGTGGGCTCAGGTTTGTTTCCCACATCGAACGGTTCAGAACCACAAGATGTGGTTCTGATTCCTGAATCAGCAAAGTTTTGGTTGGCGACGTTACCACGAAATTCGGGAAACACAGTTGGCGTGTAACATTCGCGCTGCTTGTTGATTGGTCGTTTCAATTTCAGATTTGAGAAATTTCGGTCACACATGTAACGTTTCGTCAGCTGTGCGAAATTGCCGCTAACCTTAACTCCCTAAACCGCACTGTAACGCTCTTTAACACGCGAGACACAAGTGGGTATGCACATTTGAGGGGTGAAAGTGACATTTCCGTAGCTGTTTTGTTGCGCCATACAGGTGACATTCTCGCAACTTTCACACTGGGTGTTTTTCCGAAGGTTTTCCGCAGCTTTTCCGCAAGAAAAGCTACCGTGTACATTGTGTGCCCACAAGAGATTTCGCGATGCCTGCTGCCACCCCTGCAGCACGGGCACCAAGGGAAGGCCGAAAGGCAAACGGGGAGGAGTTCTGAGATTCCTGAGCGATAGAACAAGACTAGCCGACCAGACCAGAGCAGATCCGAGCAGAACAGAAAAGACCATGGCGCCGGACCACCAGAACATGACATGACCACATCCCAGCACACAGCGGACTGCAGATGCAAGCTCGTGGGATGGCGGCGGGTGGAATGGGAAGAGCTGAGGGGAAGGGATAATCTACGCTCGGAGCGACGCTTTAACGGACAGCATTGCGTTGAGGAGTGGGGGCAAATTGCCATTCGCCAATCTCTAGATGATAAACATGGCAAAATAGCGGTGCGAAAGATGGCGCGGCGAGGCGAACTGAAGGCGTGACATGCGAAATGACGACATGGTGACATGGCAGCGCGACGCGGCGAAATGACGGCGTGACATGGCGAAAGCAGTCACACTGCGGTCTGCGGCGAAACAAGTCGGCAGGAAGAGCATACGCGCGCCCGAGCCGACAGCTTGGTGTTACTGTTAAGAATTCTCCAAAGTAACTCTCAAAGCACCAATCACGACGACTAGACGTGGTAGGACCGACAGTGAAGCATAGCGTCTAAAGACAACGTACAGCAGAGCCTATGCTCGAATGTGAAAACTACGAGTGTGGGTGGATAAATTATGTTTTGCTTTCTGCTTGAACAGAGACTGCTGCTTCTCCAGGCGATTAGGAGAGAGCAGAGACTGCTGCTTTGGCGGGTCGTATTGGACTCGGTTCTGTATGCCAGAAGTAATTTTCATAGGGTTATCGAATTTGTTCATGTCGCGATTCGCGACAGCGTTGCGCGAAGCTCCGGACAACGCAACGATTCCTAGAGGGAATGTGAAGTTTTGAGTGGCCATTCCATCTTTACCGTGCCGAAGTAGAGGGTGTAGGTCTGGCACGCCAGGCTCGCTGAGGAAATTTGTCACAATCATTCTGCCGTGCCAATTGGATGTCGCACGAAACTTGCACCCCATTCGCCGAAGCCAGCTACCACAAGCTATTTCGCCAAACGACTTTCCGACGCCCGGGCGGTGTGCACACGATGAGCAGAGCAATGATGAGCCAACGTCTGTGCAACGCGACTCCGACGATCGAACGAAGTAAGACCGACTCCATGGAGAAACCCACTCATTGTCTGTTTCACGATGCTCTTATTCCTGACACTCCAGAAGTGGTGCTCAGTCATTGATAGTGTAACTCAGTCCGATCCGTCAAACTCCTGCTTTTATACAAAACCCGGCAGAGGGAGTAAATGGTGGGAGGAAGGCCATAAAAGTCTCTCTTAGCAAATGAGGCGCATAAGTCCCACTCGGACGGTGAGCTTCCGAGCACAGCGCACACTTGGCGACGGCCTGGCGGAATTCCGCTCCGACCTTCAGACGCAGCTGCCTATTCTTAGTACTATTAGCCTGCACTGATTACAATACAAAATCTCGAACGATTAGCATTCTTTGAAGTCGTGAATGTCGTTGGCATTTTTCGTCGGCATTCCGACATCGCGAAAGTGTGAGGGCCGAAAAGTTGCGGAAAAGCAACTTCAAAGTTGCTTTCCCGCAACTTTGGTTTCGGAGAAAAAAAGTCTAGGTCAAAGGCTTCTGTGGCGGGGTGACTTTCGAAGTTGCGGAAAAGTGACGGAAAAGCTACAAAAGAGCGGCCATATCGCAACCACACAACACAACTAAAAGGTGACATCAGAAGTGACATTTGTCTTATATTCTTGGGCTTTAAGTCCCTTTGGCCACCCCTTTGCCACGTGGACGTCTGAACGCCACGTGTGAAGATATTTCCTGCCAGCTGTCAAGGTGAATAGTGGACGGGAAAATGCCACGTGGACCAATCAGATTTCGAGACGCATATTGGCGCATGCAATACAAAATGTGAAAATTCGGGAGTTAAGCATGGATAAATTTAGATTTGTATAAATATATATTTTAATACATCATTCCTGACTATTAGCACTAACACCATAATCAACATGATCTGGCACAACTACATAATCTATTGAAGGTACTTCAACAGAAGCAAACATTGCTGCCCTTTCAACCACTTGAGCCTGGAGTTCTGAAACACACGTAAAAACAGAAACATCAAATCTCAACAAAGGTAAGGTAGTTTTTTCCCTCTTAGCCATGGTACCTGCAAAAACTGATGATAGCCAGGAGAATACAGATTGGTAGACATCAAAAAGCACAAGAGCAGCACAACAACGAAGTCATGAGAGCTGCAACGTAACAAACGCAAGGTACCGTGAGAAACGTGGCAAGTAGTATAAAACGGCCAGTTACCTGTCAGCGACGGTACGCGACTCGGTTAATAGCAGTCAAGAAAACAAGAATACTGGCTACGAGGGCGCACCACATGATGGTAATAAAGAGAAATCCGAATATGTGTCATGAAAACACCGAGTAAGAGAATACGGCCATATAGTTGGCGTTCGAAAATCCCCACATTCGCACTCCCGTTGGTGCAAAGCATATTAAGCGCATCCGCGGCTGGTTTAGACAAGAACGCTTAGTTCTGAATAAGCGTCGGAAATGACAAAGCGGAAATAACGAAAACAACGCGACATACTGCGACGTACCGGAACATGTAAAAAAACAACACGATGTCGTGTCTTCCTAATCAACGTCAACACCAGAATCGTATCTGCAGCGAACAGTCCGATGGTACAAAACACGGCAACAACAACAGGAAATATTAATACGAGAGTGGAAACCGCAAGCATAGAAAGATGCCATGAACACACTATGGCGATAATACATTAGAGCAAAGAGCGGGAAATCTAGCTGGAGAATGCAGAAACGGACAGGAGATGAGCATGAACGGACTAGAGCAACGGACGAGGGATAAGAATGGTAGAGAAACTGGTTGAGAAGAAATGGTTGAGAAGTGGTGGTGGAGAAGAAATGGCTCGAGAACATTCTGGAGGTGGTGGTGTGAGAGGTGTTGACGTGGAGATAAGGAATCGTGTTGATTGGTGGGAAATGTTTGGTTCCTCTCTCGATTGGTTATAAATTGTTTGTTGGTTGGGTACAACGCAACGGAGTTGGGGGGCTAGTGTTTGGCGACGATTTGGTACTTCGCACATTTCGTTTGCTTGTGTTTGTCGCCATGCTTGCTGATTGGTGGTTTGACTCTCGAATTTTCAAACTTTCGGTCAGATTTGTTACATTTCGTGGTCTTCGTCTCTTTCTTTGAAAAGAGAACCACACTGTAAACCATTGTACCACGCGGAACACCACTTGGGTGAGCGTGGATTTAGGTAGAGTGGCGAAATCAACATTTCCGCCACTTCATAGTTGCGTGAAAGCGAGTGGCCATTTGTCACTTCGAAGTCACCTTGGGGCCAGAGCTTTCTCTGAGCCCCGCCGAAGCTTTTCCGAAGCTTTTCCGCAGGAAAAGCTACTGTGTACATGTTAGGTGCACAAGGAATTTCGCGATGGAGCATAATGATGGCCGCGGACTGTAACACGACGAACATGTCTCGTAACATTTGGAGCTTCAGACATAGCTCCTACTACGTTCGATTCTGAATGTAACTGCTTGGACCAGCTCAGTCCCCTCTGCCAAACTCTCTATACGAGACACGTCAGCAGCAGGGAACATACGATAGTGAGGAAGGCGAGAGAAGTCACATCAGTTTTGTTATTTTCTTGCGAGGTAATATAGAGCAAGCAAAGCCCGAAGCTGGTACAACGGTCGAAATGCTTCCTGTGAGGAAGGTACAGGGAGACAGATCGGGTGGAGAGGAAGAGAAGGGTGGAAAGGCCGCGCCAAATGAGCCTAATGCTGCATCTGCTGCTAGTATGCCTCTTTCCCCGACTGCTCCTGCTATTTCTGCTTCCAGTGCCGCCCCTCCTGTTGCATCTACCACGACCTTCATCGACAATCTCGAACGCGTTATAAGCGAACGGGAGGAGGTACTCTGGCAGTCGGCAATGTCCCCAAGAAGGAGTTCTGGAAATGGAACGACCCAGGATGAGGAGGAGAGCGCGAGCAGCAGCGACGACGAGGAGTGGGGGGAGTTGGAACGGATAAACCTGTTGAAGATGGCGGCGCAGTGGCTTCGCCACGGAGACGAGGGCGAATCAGGGACGGCAGCGCAACGAAGTAGGGGCGGCAGGAGAGCCGGGGCTCAGGCAGCATCGGAGAAGCTTCAGCTGCTGCCGCGGACAGATATGGTGCATTACATGGACGTGAGGGGCGCGTGGGATTGGCAAGAGTGCGAGTGCTGCTTCGATCGAGCAGTTGGTTACCGAGCACAGCGCACACTTGGCGACGGCCTGGATGAATTCCGCTCCGACCTTCAGAGGCAGCTGCCTGACTCCATCCCCCTTGCTCCCCACGGTCGGCCATCCAGCGCCATTGTTGAGTACTCTGCAGGAGTATCCATGGGGGGTCCTGACCCTCCGGAGGATTGGCCTCCCCAGCAGTTGTTCGGCGTCAAGTGTGTCCTGGCGCCGATTCGCTGTGCCGATGCCATGCTCCTCGAGTGGCTGGCTGAGCCTCGTGTGGGCGTGCTCATGGACCTGGGGAGGATCAGATCCCGCCTGCCTGCCATTCTGGCCGCTACAGATATTACTACAGCTGCACCTACTCCTGCAACAGCTGCTGCCTCTGCTGCTGCTGGTGGAACGTGGGCGAGTCGTTGGGCTGCCTACCGCCGTGCTGTCAGCTTCGCTGCCTTCCTCGTGCTTGTGGCGAGGTTCCCGCGCGTTGTAAGCCTAAAGAAGGTGTCTTTGACTCCAGGCTCCCCAGCTTATCCGGCTATCATGGCCCAGCTGGGGCCGGGCAGGCAGGTGGAGAACGACTTTGTCGCTTCCCTGCTGGTGCAGATGCTAAGGGTGAAGGAGAGCGCTGATCTGAAGGAAGGGTTTGGGTTCTTTGTGCAGCATGTGCTGTCAGGCGGGCTGGAGAAGGCGCATGCGGCGAGGAGGGGAGCTGAGGGGAGGTCTGCTGAGAAGGTGCATGAGGCGGGGGAGGGGGGAACCGGGGGTAAGGCGTTTGGGAAGGAGCAGGGGGAGGAGCGGAGGGCGGATGGCGATGGGGTGGATAGGGACGAGGGCATGGAAAAGGAGAAGGTGAAGGGGGCCGCCCTGGCAGGTTTGGGTACCACACAACTTGATGCTGGTGATGGTGATGCTGATGCTGGTGATGGGGGATGCGGAGGGGAACCGACGCATAACACTGAGGCGAGCAGAGGGGAAGAGAGGTGCAGCAGCAGCGAGGCGGTTAATGGACCAATTGGGGGGCTTGGCAAAAGAGGGAAGAAGGGGCAGTGGAGGGAGCATCTGAAGGGGCCTGTGTGGGAGAGGTATGTGGATGGCATGGCTTGGATTCTGGAGTATGGAGGGGGGGAAGGGAGGGAGTTAAGGTGCAGCCACTGCAGTGAGGGGGGCAGCCACAGTGGTGGTGACGTGCAGGTGAATGGTGTTCCCCCTGAGGAAGCATCATTCCCCAGAGGCATGTACGTTAGTGGGGTAAGCGCCACGGATTTCGCTCTTGCTTTTGCTATAGAGCTGTCCAAGCCATAGCACTGTGCAGAGGCCTGTATGCACATATTCGATGGGAACAATGTGAGTAAGGTTAGGGTGGAAGAGGCAGCAATCGAGGAGGCTAGAAGCAGGCTGAGAAAAAGGATAGGTGAAAAGGGCAGAATATGGGGTTTTGGAAGGACAGGAGGAGAGGGGACAGCAGCAGACGCGAGTGGGACAGCAGCAGACGCGAGTGGGACAGCAGCAGACACGAGTGGGACAGCAGCAGACACGAGTGGGACAACAGAAGCATCGGCAATGGAGGATGCATCTGCTTGCAGTGCTGCTGCTAGAGCTGAAACCCGGGCCTTTACACAAGCAAACGGCACTGGCTCCAGCTACAGTTCTGGTCTCGTGCCTGTCAATACAAGTCCTGTCCTCGCAGCCTTCACTTATCGAGTTGCGCGCATCTTACAGTGGGTTCGATTGTACGGCTCAGATGTCGTATTTGTAGAGAGATGCTCCAGGAGTAGGCCACAGAAAAGGATCATGCAAATGCCCCATCCGTTTCGAGACCTCCCGAGCCTGCTGCTCAGGCTCGGCGCCATCCCCAAGCCTCTTCATGATGCTCAACATCCTTTAAATTGGGAGGAATGGCCACAGGGCGATGAAGCTGTTGTGAAGCTTCCAAATGATCCCAACGTGAGATTCGTCCAGCTGGGTATTATGGAGGAGAGTATGACGGTGGTGGGGAGTGGCCACATGGGAGTGGGGGTGACAGAGCAAGCATCAAAGTCTGGGAGGAAGCATATGAGAGGGAAGGGGCGAAGAGCCAAGGCATCTGGCCAAGGAAGTGAAGTCAGAGGGGGTGATACAAACAGAGGGCTTGGCAAAGACCGAGGGGGGTTTGTAAACTCTTCCGGCATGGCTGTTGCACAGCCGCCTCGGGAAAGGAAGCTTCCCATCGTCCGTTGCGTGGCAGATGCAGATTTTATTGTGGAAGCGGTTGGTTCGATAGTGAGTCCACCGGCATGTGTCTACTGCAGCCCTTGCTTTCGCAGCTACAACTTCTTGATCCCTTCCATCGCCCTCATCGCCAAGTTTGCCTACCGTCCCCTACATGTCCTCTTCAACCGCTTTGTATCGGTCTTCCCGCCACACTCCTCTGGGTTCAACACGCTCGTGAAGATCATGGGACTGTCGCCGCTTCCCCCACGCTCGTGATGAGATAGAGGAGCAGCGCGTTGCCTTCCTGCTGCTCGTTGCCATCATGTGGCCGGCTTCCATCCTGGATATGGAACAGTTTGATGGCAAACAGGAGTTGGAGGGAGATGCGATTCGAGTGAAGAAGACGGTGGGGAGGAAGAAAGGGAAGGCCCGGAGAGGGGTGGGAAAAGGAGAGGCGGAGGAGGAAGAGGATGATGGGGAGGTGTGGGAGGAGTTGCAGTCGTGGTGCTATGCAGCAATGGTTGCCTGGCCATCCAGCATTCGTGTCACATTGTGGAGTCCCGATGTCGAATCGGCGAGTTCTGGTCTGAGTGATGTGTGTACGGCCAGTGAGGGGCGGCAGAAGAAGGTGAACGTGAACACAAGGATTGCGAATATGTTCAAAACAGGTGCTCTGAAGACGATCTTAAAAAGGGTGCAAGCCCGGGGTGGTGCTGTGGAAAATAGCAGCATTAGCAGCAGTGGCATTGGCGCAGTAATGGGTAGCGGCACTGCTGATTCTGGCACTGTCAGCGGCGGTAGCGGTGACCGAGGAGGTTGTGATGGTGCTGGCACTAGCAGTGATGCTGCTTGTGCTGGTGATGGTGCTGGTGGTGCTGGTGGTGCTGGTGGTGGTGGTATTGCCGATGCTGATAGTGATGGTGGTGTTGCTGAAACTGGTTGTGATGGTGATGGTACTGGTGTTGTTGGTGCTGGTGCTGGTGATGGTGTTAATGCTGGCAAGAGCATTGGGGAAAAGGGCAAGAAGGAGGAGGTGTTGGCTTATCTAAAGCCATGGCCGGGGGGAGTCAATCTGGTGGCATGTCTGCGAGAGATGCTGCTGGGAGAGCCGTGCTACCGCCCTGTCCCTTCTATCCCCTCAGCTGCTACAGCACCAAGCACAGCTGCTTCTCCAGCAAATGATGTTCCTCCAAATACTGCTGCCTCTTCTACCCACCCACCCGCACACACCGTTGCTACCACCTCTTCCACTCAAGTCACCGCAAATTCTCGTGCTGCGACAGGCAATGCAGATGCAGCTGCACTCATTGCAGATAACGATGCCTCTGGTCCCGTTGCTTGCAGGGAGAATAGGTGTGGTGCTGAGGGGTGTGGGAGGGTGGAGGGTGGTGGTGTGAAGCTGAGGAGCTGCTCTGGGTGTGGCAAGGTGGCGTATTGGAGCAGAGAGTGCCAAAAGGCGCACTGGCCCTCCCACAAGCTCACATGCCCCGGCAGGACCAGCGGGAAGAAGAGTGGGAACGATGGGAGCAGGGATGGCAGCAGCAGTGGCAGGGCGAGTGCCAAGGTGGGTAAGCAAGATGGGTTTGCGAGGTGGATGGGCAAGGTGGGTAGGCAAGGTGGGAAGGCAAGGTGTTAAGGAAAGATGGGTAGACTGATTGGTATGGTATGGTAGGTAGGCAAAGTGGGTAGGCAAGGTGTTAAGGAAAGATGGGTAGACTGATTGGTATGGTATGGTATGGTAGGTAGGCAAAGTGGGTAGGCAAGGTGTTAAGGAAAGATGGGTAGACTGATTGGTATGGTATGGTAGGTAGGCAAAGTGGGTAGGCAAGGTGTTAAGGAAAGATGGGTAGACTGATTGGTATGGTATGGTAGGTAGGCAAAGTGGGTAGGCAAGGTGTTAAGGAAAGATGGGTAGACTGATTGGTATGGTATGGTAGGTAGGCAAAGTGGGTAGGCAAGGTGTTAAGGAAAGATGGGTAGACTGATTGGTATGGTATGGTAGGTAGGCAAAGTGGGTAGGCAAGGTGTTAAGGAAAGATGGGTAGACTGATTGGTATGGTATGGTAGGTAGGCAAAGTGGGTAGGCAAGGTGTAAAGGAAAGATGGGTAGACTGATTGGTATGGTATTGTAGGTAGGCGAAGTGGGTAGGCAAGGTGTTAAGGAAAGATGGGTAGACTGATTGGTATGGTATGGTAGGTAGGCAAAGTGGGTAGGCAAGGTGTTAAGGAAAGATGGGTAGACTGATTGGTATGGTATGGTAGGTAGGCAAAGTGGGTAGGCAAGGTGTTAAGGAAAGATGGGTAGACTGATTGGTATGGTATGGTATGGTAGGTAGGCAAAGTGGGTAGGCAAGGTGTTAAGGAAAGATGGGTAGACTGATTGGTATGGTATGGTAGGTAGGCAAAGTGGGTAGGCAAGGTGTTAAGGAAAGATGGGTAGACTGATTGGTATGGTATGGTAGGTAGGCAAAGTGGGTAGGCAAGGTGTTAAGGAAAGATGGGTAGACTGATTGGTATGGTATGGTAGGTAGGCAAAGTGGGTAGGCAAGGTGTTAAGGAAAGATGGGTAGACTGATTGGTATGGTATGGTAGGTAGGCAAAGTGGGTAGGCAAGGTGTTAAGGAAAGATGGGTAGACTGATTGGTATGGTAGGTAGGCAAAGTGGGTAGGCAAGGTGTTAAGGAAAGATGGGTAGACTGATTGGTATGGTATGGTAGGTAGGCAAAGTGGGTAGGCAAGGTGTTAAGGAAAGATGGGTAGACTGATTGGTATGGTATGGTAGGTAGGCAAAGTGGGTAGGCAAGGTGTTAAGGAAAGATGGGTAGACTGATTGGTATGGTATGGTAGGTAGGCAAAGTGGGTAGGCAAGGTGTTAAGGAAAGATGGGTAGACTGATTGGTATGGTATGGTAGGTAGGCAAAGTGGGCAGGCAAGGTGTTAAGGAAAGATGGGTAGACTGATTGGTATGGTATGGTAGGTAGGCAAAGTGGGTAGGCAAGGTGTTAAGGAAAGATGGGTAGACTGATTGGTATGGTATGGTAGGTAGGCAAAGTGGGTAGGCAAGGTGTTAAGGAAAGATGGGTAGACTGATTGGTATGGTATGGTAGGTAGGCAAAGTGGGTAGGCAAGGTGTTAAGGAAAGATGGGTAGACTGATTGGTATGGTATGGTAGGTAGGCAAAGTGGGTAGGCAAGGTGTTAAGGAAAGATGGGTAGACTGATTGATTAGGTATGGTAGGTAGGCAAAGTGGGTAGGCAAGGTGTTAAGGAAAGATGGGTAGACTGATTGATTAGGTATGGTAGGTAGGCAAAGTGGTTAGGCAAGGTGTTAAGGAAAGATGGGTAAACTGATTGATTAGGTATGGTAGGTAGGCAAAGTGGGTAGGCAAGGTGGATGTTCAATGTGAGCGTTCAAGTGAGAGTTCAATTGTGTGAGGGTGCAGTGTGTGGAGCTACCAAAGCAAGATGCCCTTTGCATGTCTGGTGTGAGATTATGGTTGCAAGAATTGAGGGTGTGTGAGCCCTCGTTTGCATATACTTGGAATGTTGACTTCTGCTTTGCAGCCCGTCATTCACCGTGTGGTTGCACATGGATGACCATACTGCTTGCCGAGCTCTGTTAGTAAGCAGACTGGCATTTGGCTGTCTTCTTCCTTCAGTCAATTCCCTATTTTTTCTCGCTCACCCTTTCCTGCTGCTTGCACTTGCACCCTGAACCCCACTTCCTCTCCACAGGTCTAAGGGTGCTTTGTTACAGGCATGTGTCTGAACATCTTCTTGGGGCTTGTGTCTCGTGCTACTGCGAAGCATTACGGCTGGAGCACGAGGTGTACTGCAGTTTACCAGGGTGCCACACGAATCGGACGTGCGATTTTCCTGTAACAATGCATTCTAAGTTCAGGAAACATGTAAAGCCATAATGGTCACACCTCTTGTCAATATGTTTTGAGGATAACGGTGTTGGTTAGGATACGACTCAGTATCGAAAGCACTTTCTGATTCGTGGGGATTGGCGAAGAGGATAACGAATTGAAATCAGGCTCATAAATGGCTGATATATTGGGGTTATGTAGAATTAGGCTCATAAATCCATAGCATAATCTTGAAATGAAAACAAATCAGCTTTGGATGAGACATGCTCCCAGATGGCCCACCTAAAATGTGGCTCTTGCACTTTGCAATCTCTTAGTGAGGTTTATAGACAGATACCGTAGGCCCCGCCAACAATGGGTAAATCAGATCCATGCATGTGCTGCACTCCTTTGTCCTTCCTTCACTACTCTCAGCAAGCAGCAGTGCTATCAGGCACAGTGGTGGGTCCCGTGCTGCCATGACACACGTTTCACACTACACTACTCAGCCTGCTCTGTCCCCTTCCCCCACCCATTTCCTCCACCACCAACCCTCCCCCCCTTCCCTCTCCCCCTCATCACACAACCCTCACACCATGGCAGCAGCCAGCAGTGCCAGCAGGCAGGCAGCCAGTGGGGGGAAGGCAAAGGGGTGGAGGCTGCAGCGGGGCTTGGCAAGGGAGATGGGGGAGGAGGCAGAGGGCGTGGTGGAGGGGGCTGGTGAGGGCATAGGTGAGGGGGACGCGGGGGGAGATGAGCTGGCAGAAGTTGTGTTGGATGTGGAAGGGGCAGGAGAAGTGTAGGGGAGGGCAGGTGTTGGTGGTCTTCCTGTGAGGAGAAGGGAGGCTGACGCATGGAGAAGGGCAGGGCGAGAGAGTGCAGTTTACGGATGATGGCACAAGGGAAGGCAAGGTGAGTGTGGTGGGGGGAAAAGGGAGGTTTCTAACACCATGTCATCTTCTGGCACGACAGGGCAGGGCAGGGCGAGAAGAGCGCGAGACAGACACAGCGAAGTGTCCTGAGAACGGAGGCACACCTTGGTCGAGGGTGGAGTAGAATTGTGTGCACTCTGCGGTGGACCGTGGACTCTCGTCCCTCAGCAAGGTGACTGCACCTGCACCTGCTGAAGCGTGAAAGCAGTTGGTGAAAAACCTGTGGGGGGTAAAGGTGGGCAGGGGGAAAAGGAATAGTGAAAGGATGGAGGAGGGAGAGAGTGATCGAGTTAAAGAGGGCCCAGACCACCCATCCTTCACAAGGAAACCCAGCAAGGTCAAATTAAGAGCATCACTACGGAGCCATTCCCATCAAAAGGAATAATCCCCCATCCCCCACGAGTGTCATTCTCTGAGGAAAAGACTCACTTGAATTCGACATTGTGTCCAGCAGGCAGCCGCGCACAAACTCAGTGAGGTAGTTGGAGCTCAGGTCCCCTGGAGTGGAGCGGGGATTTGGGGTGGGGCGGTGAGAGAGAGAGACAGGAGAGAGGTCAGGGGAGGAGAAGCAGGTGCCATATTCTACATTGTAGAATAGCTCTATTCATAATCAATTTGATATTCTAGATAGACTGTCTAGCAAATCCCTTTCCGTCCCTCATATCTAACCTGCAAAGCATCACATTCTCCCTCTGTTCTGTGCATCCGGACATTATCCACTTCTGTTCAATGCCTTGTCATCTGCTACACGTGGGCAAGAAATGGTTTGATTCCTTTACAACCCTTTCATCTGCAATGCCATGTCAGGTGTGGTTTGGGAAGAGCCTTATAAGAAATTTTACACCTGGCTTGTGGGTCGTGGCTCGTGCAAGTAAGGGAGTAGCGCACATGCAGGGGCAGGGCAGGCAGTGACCTGCCAAGTTGTTATAGCAACCACTGCAATGAGGACCAGAGCCCATACAAGGGCATGGTGGGGAGATAATGAGGTAATAAGACAACGGTATGATGGGGAAATGGGTTGATGGTGTGCTGGCGGGCTGGCGGGCTGGCGGGTTGGCGATGTGATGGCGGGGTAATGAGGTAATGGGATGCTGGGGTGAAAGGATGATAGGGTGATGAGTTGATAGGGTGATGGGATACTGGGGTGATGGGATGATGGTATGATGGTCATGGGGTGATGAGATCATGGGGAGAATAGATTGCCAAGGGCATTGGAGTCGAGACAGGCGACGAATGGAAACACAGAACTGATCTGCTAGAAGCAGGTTCGATAAAAGGCGACAGGTCCCAGGGGCGGCTTCAAGATGACCAGTAACGCCTCGGCAGGCATCAGCGACCATCGTGAGCAATAGCCCAAGGATCAAGATTCATAATGGGAGTAGCAGCGAACTTGTGAGAAAACGCTTAGCAAAAGGATCAAAACTGTGATACTTGTTCCTAGAAATTAAAAGAAAGATCTCAAAGCCTCCAAACCTCGAAAAACCCTTAATCGCAAACTAGTTTCGGCCAAACGGGACAGAACCCCGCTAAGCCTTCATCAGTGCTGCTTTCCAGGTTCACAAGAAAGAGAAGCCTCGGACAGAAGCTAGCTAAGTACCTGCTACTGCCCTCGAGATCAGCTTATTGTACACCAACTACCCAGATTACAAATCAGAAGCAATCGCCAACTCAGCAGGGGGGGTAAACCCAATGTGCTTTGTCAGCCTCCACAAAATGTCTTCAACGACTTGATCAGTTCGGTAACCGCGCACGCACCAGTAACCTTTGTAGGTTACGTGAACACTTCCAAGCAGTTATAATTCTCTCCACATAAAATCCGCGTGAACTGAGACGACTTTTGAGGCGCCTCAAAAGGACCCCCAGCATAGACGAGCTGTCAACGGGGTGAACAGGGTCTTCAAGACCAGGGGGCCGCGGGTGGGGGGAGAGATAAGTTTGAGTGCTTGGCGTGCAGCGGTTTCCTCCAGAATGAGGCGTCGGTGTCGGAAGAAAACAGAACGGAAGATGGGCAGAAGGAAATCTCCAGGATAGCCGCGACTTCTAAGCCGCTGGAAAAACGCGTGCTTAGAGGCGAGAAAGGATTGGGCAGATGTTGAGCGGAGAAGGTACCGCTTCAGTTCTGCCTTGATGTAGCCTATCTTGCAGTGCCGCGGGTGGAAAGAAGAAAAGGGGAGATAAAGGTATCGATTCATAGGTTTCTGAAACACCCTCAGATCCAAGATACCCTTCTCGGCAAACCTTGGTCCCTTGAAGATGACCATGTCAAGAAAGTCAGCCGATGAGTCTGAGACGTGCCACGTCAGTTTGATGTTGGGGTCGAGCTGGTTGAACATGTTCAAATACTCCTCCAACTCATCCCGAGATCCAGGCCATACAATCAAGCCGTCGTCAATGTATCTAACGTGGCACAGTGGTTCTGTCCCAGTCCATCTCCTCCTCAGTACCTCATCCAGACGACTCATGAAAAGAACGGCAAAACAAACAGCTGCAGGAGTTCCCATAGCCGTGCCTTGCCGTTGAAGAAAAAGTTGGCCGTCGAACTCCACATAGGAGTTCATCATCACCCACTCCAGCAGGGCGACAATCGGGAGGTAGCTCGGGTGTCTCCCACTCTGTAACATGCTGCTGACTGCGTCGATGCCTCGCCTTAAAGGAATGCTGGGGTAAAGCGAAGTAACGTCGTAGGTGGCCAGGAAGATCCCTTTCGGGAAGGCAGTTTCTTCCAGCTTCAAAAGCAGCGAGAGTGAGTCGCGGAGGTATGTCTGCTGTCGCAACACCCACGGCCGTAATTCTGCGTCCAACCAGTGGCTAACATTAGAGGTAACCCAAGAATGCGAGGCAGCGATCGGTCGCCCCGCGAGCTCCTTTTTATGCAGCTTCGGTAAGATGTAGAATGCCGCGGGCTTCCAACCCCCAGGCGTTTCGTCAAAGAAAAACTTCCAGAGTGTCTCGGGAAAAGCAGGGCCCCAAACGCTTTTCAGATCACGCAGTTTACGCACGACTTCGACGGTGGGATTATGTAGAACAGGAGAGTAGGTGGCGCTGTCACCGAGGTGTTCCATGCACAACCGTACGTAATGATCTCTGTCTAAAACGGTAATCCCCACGTTCTTGTCAGCAGGCTTGATAACTACTTCTCGATCTGTAGCGATGGCGCGCAAAGCCTTACGTACACCTAACGAGACGTTTCGGTGTCGGTCAGGCCTAGATGCCTTCAACAGGAAAGACAGGTCCGAGGACGAGTCTGTGAAGACCTGCTCCGGAATAACTATCCGATCAGGTAGCCAACTCGGGTTCCTAACTCGAAAGCGCGAATCCCTCGTCAAACCATCTGCATCCTTGAAGAAGAAATGTAACGAGATCTGCCGAAAGAGCTGATCGAGCTCAATTCCAGTCGAAAGGGAAACGGAGGGCGTGGGGATGAACTTCAAACCCAACCCCAGTGCCTTTTTCTCATCCGGGGACAAGATCTTGGCACTGAGGTTGTGAACTCTGCGGTTACGGACGCGTAACTCAATCTGCCGCAGCGTCATACGCCCGAACCAACGGAGAGCCAGCTCATGGCTGGTTAGTTCTTCTTGCGCGGCCCTTTGTCGGGGCCGCCTCCGCCGTTTTTTGGTCCCTTGGCCGTGGCCGTCTTGCCTTGGCCTCCCGTCTGCTTGTCGGTGTCGGTGCCGGAATTCTGCTGTTTCTTCTTTTTACCACCACGCTTCCTCCTCGGCTTTGGTCCCGCGGTAGTAGCAGCAACCTGCTTCCCCGTAGGATTCTTCTGCTTTAGATCAGCAGCAGCGGCCCGCGTCGGTTCCTGTACCTTAAGAGAAAGATCCTTCAGCAGCTTTTTCGATAGGCTGGCTTCAAGCTTCGCCAAAATTTCCTTGCGTAGCTTGTCCTCAACCTTCTTAATCCGCTTGTTTAGGATCTCCTCCAACGCAGGTTCGAGTTCCATCTCCTGCACCTCCTCCGATGCCGCAGCCTTCTTCAAATCCTCGTCAGCCTGCTTGCTCTGTCGTTCCAACTCCCGGATCGTGATGTCGTCCTTGGCGGAAACGATCTCAGACTGCGCCAAAACAATACAGCGTCCCTTGAGCAAACGAAACTTCTCCTTAGCGGCATCTGACACCACCAAGTCGGGATCTGAGCTTAGGCGCTTGATGTAGTCTTCCATTCGTGTCGCCAGAGTCGGGACAAGAGCAGTGATTGAACGCTGAATCTCCTCAACCTCTAATGCTTTAGCGGCGATAAACTCGGCGCAGGCTGGACGTGCGGCGCGCGATTATCCTCGGGGACCTCCTCTCAGTCTAGGAGGCATGAGCCAGCTCTCCGGCTAGTGACCTCCGCCAGCACTTCCTCATAACCAACACCACAGCCGGGCAGCTGGCTAAGTGGCCTGCAGCCGGGCTTACCACGCAACACCTCATGGACCCCGTGAAGTCCAGTGCGCATGCTCCTGCCGCGCACCACCCACCTCACCCGCCTGTTCAAGCCACCTGCTCCTAGAACCCACCCCACCCGCCTGTCCAAGCCACCTGCTCCTGGCACCCACCCTACTCGCCTGCTGCACCCAGCCTATCCGCTGCAGGTCCTGCCCTGCCCCTACCTGAACCGGCCACACGCCCCCCCTTTGCTCCCCCTTTGCCCAACAGGCTGTGCCTTTCTCTGGCCGCTCGTAGGCCCCTTGCGCTGCGCTGGTGGTAGACGCCCGGCCAAGCTGGCACTCACACATGATGGCAGGCCGGCTGGCTGGCTTGTGCGCCGGCCCAATGGGAAGGCGGCTGGTTTGTGCGCCGGCCCACAGCCCCGCGTACAGCGACTTGCGCTGGCCACCGGTTCCCACAGCCTCCTTGCAGACTGGCTCCTCCTGGCAGGGGCAAAGAGGGTGCGGGAGAGGGGTGGGGAAAATGCGTGGGGGAAAGGGGTGGGGGAGAGGGGTGGGAGAGAGGGAGGCGGGAGTAGGAAGGAGGGGTCAGGGAGAGGCGTAAGGAAGGGGTGTGGGGGAGTGGGGACGTGCACTGCCCACCGGACCCCACTGCATCCTCGGGGGCTGGCTCCTCCTGGCAGCAGCACGGGCCGGGTGGGCGGTGGCGGCGTGGGGAAGAGGTGGGGGGAGGGGTAAGGGAAGTGGAGAAAGGCATGGTGGAGTGTTGTGGGCGGGAGGAGTGGGGGAGAAGCGTTAGAGAGAGGCATGGGGGAGAGGGGTGGGGGAAAGGGGTGGCAAAGAACAGAGGAGAGAACCCCTACATCCTGCTTTTTAGACCTCACGTTCCTAAACCCTTCCATATCCCCCGTATCCCCCCCCCCCCCTCCTCCCCTCGCTCACCTGTAGGCGCGGCCACTCGCGCATGTCCTGCGCCATCACCTTTTATTTATTCCCCCGTCACCCTTAATCCACACTTCCCCTCCGTCCTGAGCCCTTATCGCTCACCCGTAGATGCGGCCATTCACGCATGTCCAACGCCAGGGCAGATGGGGCAGATGGGCGGGAGAAGTGCATAGAGCCTCGGATTGCTGCCCTCCGGCGCAAGAGGCGTGTGAGAGGACCTTAAGGCGCTCAAAAGCTGACTAGAAGACGTGTGAGGCGTCTCAAACGCTGACTAGAGGACGTTGCACCTCAAACGCTGATCCGAGGACGTAACAAAACGTCGTGCGCGTCACTGACGGGGAATTTTCGGCGAAGGATGGGTCGCATCGCAATGTCTGAAGGATTGCCTTTTAGCTTTCTCGAATTCTTCACGGCTCCGATTTTCGCAGCACATGACCAAACAAGACGAGCACCCAATTGGGCTTCCCAATGCTTCATCGAATTTCATTTGACGACGTACGTTCAGCCGCAGCCACAGCGGGATCGGCTTACGGCGAGAAATACGTCTGCACCACTCGCACGGCGTCGCTGGCAGTGGGAGCAGTTGACGGCCGCAGCACCGGCATCACCAGCCGAAGCAACAGTAGCAGTTGCGCGCCGTCTCGGCGCGAGGCGGGAGTGCGCCGCGGCATTTGCAGCAGCAGCGGCGGGAGCTGCGCACCGAGCGACGCGGGAGAGCGAGGTGGGAGAGCGACGATCAGGTTGGACGGAATCAAGACTGACAATGCCGCAACCTAGCAGCGGCTGGTGACATGGGCACGCGGACGACTCGTTACTGTGGCTGATAGTAGAGAATAATGTATTGGTGTAGCCTAAGGCTAGCGGGTACTGTGGTTTTTGAAACCACTACTGGCAACTGATAAAGCGAGTGCACTTGGTAGATTGGGGTTAGGGTGATGACGACGAATCCGTAATGCGGCGACGTGTGAATGGAAATGCCGATACGATTTCATGCTACTATAAACTGCCATCGATAAATTGGTACTATGCCTGAGCGGGTGGACTCGTGAAAGTGATCTAGCCGAATAGCGCTCGGAAATCAGGGTTGGATTCGAAGCTTTGATGATTATCGAACAGGGAACGTGATTCAGAAGCTTCTTTCACTACAACGAATCAAGCCTAGCCTTTCTCGACGACCACACCTAGGCCCAGTTCGGTAGGCATTATGGCCATTTTCGCCATTATGGGCATTTTTAACGGGCCCCCAAAAAATGGCGCTTGGGCATTTCCAGAAACAACTTCGAAACTGGACTGTAGCTGCAGTGCACCTTCGAGAAAATGGTATGAGTGTTCGGTTGGCATTAATTGAGTGTAGATTGATGGCATCAATCGAGATTCCGGGTTTCGCAGAAGGTGCTCGAAAGTTGCCTTGATGGATCGTGTCCTCATGTGATTGGCTGGCATATTTGACCAGTCACTTTTGATTGCCCCGAATCACTGATACCCCGCATGGTGCGGGGCCTCGAGGCCGCATGGTGCGGCGGATAAGAAAATGGGCACTTTGCCAGAGAAACTGGGTTCGTGGAAGATTCGGGCAGTTGAAAACGCCTGCAAAAAAAAGGGTGTTCGGGAGGCATTCCATTATTGTCTGGTTCGGCGATGATCCGCTTATATCGAGCCAAGATAACCCTTCACAAGCTTATCAAAGAAGGTTCCAGGGTGGTCGGTTTACTGTAGCCCATCCGCCGAGGCCCTTTTTTTAATGCCTACCGAACTGGGCCCTAGCCAGGCAAAAACCTCGGGTGACGAGGTTGGGGAAAGGCGGAACCGAAAGCTTCGGAAGCGGTACGAGTCATTTTGGGTGTCATCAATCTGACCGAGCCTCATCCCCGCTATGTTCGGGGCTTCATGTGATACCCTGATGTAAACAGATCTGGTATTCGAACGCAAGGCAACCGGACCGAACATCCCAGCGCAATTCGGTCGTCGGGACGGAATTGCCAGTGTCGTCGAGGGGGGTCGTCGGAGCCGGGCCTGACGAGGAAGGCAACCGACGCGCGTGCGGGCCCGCCAGCCTGGCCCAGGGCTGGGCCGAGCGCACGACCGCCGCCCCGCAACCCCGCTCCGAAAGTGAACAGCGCCCCACGTTACCGGGTGGGGTCGGCGAGCTGGCGACCCCTCGCGCGAGGGAAAGTAACCCTCGCGCGAAGGCAGCCCTCGGGTTCATGTTGCCCGCGAAGCCCTAGTAACCCTCGCGACCTGCCCGGCCGGGCAAGCGAGGGCCCGGCGAAATTCGGGTGCACCCCTCGGGACGATCGACAATCTCGCGATCCGATGCGATCCGACCCGTGTTCGCCCGTGAGTTCGCATCGGGTGCATGCGAAATTCAATTTCCGAACTGGCCGAAATCTAATTTCGCGCATCGCGGCGCACGGTTTTCGCGACCCGCTCCGAAATCGACACGTGTTGACCGCGCGCATGCAAAATTGCGTCCCCTCGCCGAGCGCAGCCAATGGAAGCGAAGTCGACGTGCTGGCTCGGCGGCGAAGGAGCACTCGTGCCACTCGTGCATGCGCCTGCCGAGCCTGGAACCAACCTGGGCGATGCCCCACCCGGCATGTGGGCCACCGACTCCCCTTTTCTTGGTGGAAGGAGGCATCGCTCCTCATTTTCGGCATCTCGTTTCCCTTTCAGCCTTTTTCCCATCTCTGCGCCTTCTCCCACATTCACGTCCCTTAGCCTGTAGCCGCTTCCCTTCCCCGCCATGGCGGCCGACCCGAAAGTCGGCGAAGTGACGCCGACTTCGCAGGACTTCCCTCTGTATCTCGACCTGGGTAGTGGACTCACTGCCACGCTCGAGGAACACGACTACGCCGTCCTCGTAGACCATAGGCTAGAGTTCAACGCCCGTTGATTGGGATTCGGCCTCAAGTGAGTGTCCGTATTGGGATGTCGGCGTCGACCTCTGGATACATTGCTGGTCGACGTTGTTAGGGTTGTCCCACGTCTTGGTCGGCGCTACTAGTTGAGGGTTTAGATCACTACTTGATGACGCACACAGCCGTAGGTCGGTGTAGGCACCGGATTCCGATTACTACAGTAGGTCGGTGCCCGCATCGGTCGGCGCCATTGATTCCCGTCAGTTGTCGGTTCCCGTCGCGACGGTGGTGCACCGTCGTACTATTGCCATCCCCGATCGGTGGTCGGTTCCAGAACCCACGTGTCCACCGTCGTGCCTTGCACCTCCTCAATCACCTCTACTACCCGTGCATGCGTGCAGGCACGCATGGATTCGCGCGGCGCCGGCCAACATGCGATTGTGGTCGATTGGACTCGGCCGGCTTCGGGCGGCGATGGGCCGGGAAGACCACTCATGCTTTGCTACGGTTTTCGACGCCGACGTAGCTGTTATCCCCCTGCATTCGAGGTGAGCCGGTTCGAAGTCATCATGGTGTGCCATGAACCCTATGTCGGTGCTCCGTTCTGAACGACGTCGTCGTGCCTTGCCTGTGCAGCATCGCACCGCTTCCAAGAGCACATTGCAGCGTCGTGGTCATCCTGTACCCCGGCGACTAGTTGTGGGCCGGGGGGGAGACGATCAGGACCTCGGTCCGACACTTTGACCCGCAGACCGTGAAGAAGTGGCACCGCGACGAGGCGATCCGCGTGCTGAAGTGAGCTCGATGGTGTAGTCGACGACGCATGCAATTTCGCCGCTGAGCGTAAATCAAGCGTACTGACGAAATGTGCCATGTTGCTTCAGGTTTTTCCGGGCGGCGGTCCTGGCCGAGCTCGGCCGCGATGGTAGGCAGTGGGAGTGGCCGAAGCCTTCTGATGAAGAGGTGGCGGACAGGCTCGCCGACTGCGATGAACCCGTTCGAGATGTGAGTTCCGATCGTTTTACCGTCCTAGCGCGATGCCATTGCCGACGTCGGTGCTCATCCTTGCGCTCTGCCCTGTTGTATGCAGAAAGTGCGCGACACCGTCCGGGACAACGACGCGGGCTCTGGCCTCCTATCAATGAGCGCGCTGTGCTGAATGGTGAAAAGTATGGATCGCCTGACCGGCGCCGACCGTCGCAGTGCGACCAGCATGGACAAGGTCCTCGTTTCGGGGTTGAAGGAGCTGCGGAATCGGATGATCACATTCATCAAGGAACACGTCGCTCGCAAACGGTCGGGCCATGTCGGAGTTGCTACCGACGCCTGTGACGACGCCGCCGCGGAGCCCCCTTCGGCATCCCAAGCAGTCGGTGTCGCCGACACCAGCGGAGAGGCCGGAGGCGGCATCGACAAGGCAGATGAGGAGGCAAGAAGGGCGGTGGCGCGGACCGCGGATCAGGAAGAGGAGGAGGAGGAGGATGACACCGATGATCAGGATGATAACGAGGAGGAGCGCGAGGAGCGTGAGCAGGGGCAGGAGGAGGAGGAGGAGGAGGAGGAGGAGGAGGAGGAGGAGGAGGAGGAGGAGGAGGAGGAGGAGGAGGAGGAGGTGGTGGTGGAGGAGTCGGGGGAGAAGCAGCAAGTGGGGGAGGAGGAGGTAGAGTTCCCCTGGGTCGAGTTCGAGGAGGAGGACGTGGAGGCCATGGCGGCGGCGGCCGTGGAGGGAACGGGTGGGAGGTCGGCGGATGGTGTGTACGAGGGAGGGGAGGGTGCCGACGTGGAGAAAGTCGGCGTGGAGGAGGCTCACGTGGGGAGTGAGGGGGTTGTGGTCGGCAATGTGGTTGGCGACGCGAAGGAGGATAACGCCGCGGCCCCGATGCAGACGGGCGTGGCAGGGCCTATCGAGCCCACCGCAGGGAACGCCGGGGTGGAACGCCGGGGTGGAGCGGTAGAGGCGGGCCGTCAACCCGGTTCCTCAGCAGCTGGTCGGCGGGCACCGCCGGCCGTCGTCGTGCAGCTGCGACAGGAGAACATGTGGTTGAGGGCTGAAAATGCTCGCCTGGAGACGGCGCTCGGAGTGGAGAGGGGTCGGGTGGACAGGTTTGCGTTGGGGATAGGCGGCCTCGTGGACAAGCTGAGGTCGTTGGCCGACCAGGTCGCCGCCTCCGACGCGGACACGTCGAGTCGGCTGATGGATGCGTCCTTGACCATGGCGACGACCGTCACGGAGAGAATCACCGCCGACATGGGTGAAGCATGGGATTCGATGAAGGCGTACGCCGAAAGGGCGGAGAGCTGGTTGGACGATCTCGAGAATCCGGAGGGGTTTATGGCAGCGCAACGTGCGACGGCGGTCGTCACCATGGGCAAACACGTGGAAGCGGTGGTGGGCGATGCGAGGAAGGGGTTGGAGGACTACATATCGAAGCACCTAGTCGCCGCGCAGACCAACATCGCCGCCGCGGTAACTCAACGCGTCGCCGTGCCGCCGCCCACGCCGCCCGCCCCACCGCCAGCCTTCCCGGACGAGCTCATGAAGGCTTTCAAGGCGGAAGTGTTGAAGGCGGTGACAGAGGCCACCCAGCATTCGTTTCTTGCGTCCGGGTTAAAGCTCATGACCGAGGTGATCGGCAATATGGCGCCTGGTCGGCGTGGGTCGTCGCCGTCGGCCAACGAGGCCGACAAGCAGGGCCAGAAAAGGGGGGGCGGCGGAGATGATGCGTTGAGCGTGAAGCGGAGCAAAGGAGCCGATGGGAGCCGCGGCGTCGGCCAGGTGGGTCCAGGCGACTCGCGGAGCAAGGGAGCCGATGGGAGCGGAGGTACGAGCGTGGTCGACCAGCTCAAGAAGAACGGGGCCAAGGTGATAAGGACGCACACCAAGGGCGATGGAATCAGGACTGCGGAGGGGGGCCCTGCCGACCAGGTTGCCGCTCAAGAGGCTGGACCAACAGCCCCGCCGTCGGTCGCCGAGAAGCCCCACAGTCTAGCAACCGCACCAACGGCGATAGATGGCGGCGCCAAAACCGTGAAGGGACCGTCTGTCGGGGTGGCGGGGACCACGTCGATTCCCCGCAAACCCCCTGCGGCTAGCAGCGCGCCGGTCGCCCCGTCAGCCGCCAACAACGATGGGCCGTCCCTTGCGGGTACTCCAGCACCAGCAGGCCCGTCTGCCGCCAAGGGCGACGAGGAGGATGCTGCGGCTAACCGCGCTGGTCCGTCCGCCCCAAAGGAGAACGCGCTCAGGGAAATGCTCCGCCGCATGGAGGCCCATTGCCAGGACGTGCAGCAGCCTCCCTTGGTCGGTGCCGCTCCGGCCAAAACAGCACGTCGCTCGGGCACTCCGCAGGTCGCCGCCACAACGTCCAGTGCCCCACCTACCGCGCCTATCATCGCCGCCCGTCCTCCTGTGGACCCAAAGTCCGCTTTGCTTCGCGCCCGGTTAGGCGCACGTACCGCGGCAGCGCCAGCACGGGCTCAGCCGGAAGCCAGCCGAAGCGCGACGCCGACGTCGGTAACCGTGGCTGCACCCACACTCGGTGCAGCTACTGTCGAGGCGGTGGCGGAGAAGGGCGTGAGTGCAGCGCTAGCCACCGGCGGCGGATCCGTTGACCCTGCACAGGCGGCGAAAGGCCACAACGACGCCGACATCGCTGCCATCCAGGACCTGTTGGAAGCGGTAAAACGCCCCGAGCAGCCCCCTGTTCTGGCCATCTCGGACTCGGCGCATGTGGAGCACTCGGCGAGTCCCCCCGGTAGTACAGCGGAGCCAAAGACAACCACTGCTGCTGTCGGCGCGGGAAAGGCGAAACGGAAGGGGACGGCCGACACAGGGAAAGGGAGGCCGAGCTCGCAGAGGAAAATACGGGCGACGTCGGCGACAAAGTCGGTGGAGAAAGAGAAGGAGAAGGAGAAGGAGAAGGAGAAGGAGAAGGAGAAAGAGAAGGAGAAGGAGAAGGAGAAGGAGAAGGAGAAGGAGAAGGAGAAGGAGAAGGAGAAGGAGAAGGAGAAGGAGAAGGAGAAGGAGAAGGAGAAGGAGAAGGAGAAGGAGAAGGAGGAGAGGAGGAGGAGGAGGAGGAGGAGGAGGAGGAGGAGGAGGAGGAGGAGGAGGAGGAGGAGGAGGAGGAGGAGGAGGAGGAGGAGGCGAAGGAGGAGGAGAAGGTGAAGCTGAAAGGACGGAAGGGTCATGGCATCCGCCACGACACCTCGGGCGACAAGCAAGGATGGGTGGGCGAGATTAAGGTCGCCGGGAACGAGAGTCGATACATCGGCAAGTCGCGCGACAAAATGGAGCTGGCGTACCTTCACTCGATTGTGTACCTCCTCTACGACGGTTACGTCAGCCCCATCCTCATGGCCGAGCTCACCCACTTGTCGGAAACCGATATGCAGCAGTGGAGGGCGGTGTGGGAGGAGGTCAGGTTCTTGCCGACTGGGATGTGGACGGTGATATGGGCACGGGGCGCGTTCCTGCCAAAGATACGGTAAGTCGGATACACGTCGGCCAAGTGATGACGTCGACGTCGGTGTCTCTAATGGTCGTCCAGTTTCGTGTGTTTGCGTGACAGGTTCGATGAGATTCTCGGCAGGTATAGTGCGTACAAGACATCAGGCGATGCGCACCACGACGCGCTCTTGCCGGCGATCTTGTTCCCCGTCGATGCCGACACGAAGGAAGGGCAGGAGAAGTCGGATGCAATGATGTCGGCCATGATAGATCGCGTGTCCTTGTGCGCTGCGTATGGGAAAGTCGCTGCTGCCGCGGCGAGGAAGGAGGGCGCCACGGATGAGACGACGGCGATGGTGGCACAGGCGCTATCGGCCTCCGCTTGCGCCCTGTGGTGCTTAGTCGAGGGCGACGCCGCCCAGGTAGCCGATGCTGTGCGCGAAGGGACGGCGGCGGCGATGGTGGTCGGTGCGAGCGAGAAGACCGCCGATGAGTTCAAGAAGGTCATGAAGGCGGTGCTGGAGGTTGCGATCGGCAGGCAGCAACCCCTCGGGGAGGTTGCGTACAACGTCGCACCCGCTGTGCAGTCTATCGCTCTGGAGAGGGCCTATCCGGGGATGGATGTTGAAGTCGAAGCCGAAGTGATCGCACGAGCGACGGTGGAGACCATGGCGTTCTGGGGAATGTGCCCCGTGGATGGGCCGAAACTCAAAAAGATCGGCATCGCGGTGCCGCTTGACGCGCAGATGGCCTACGATATCGAACACAGGGGGAGGAAGGGGCAGAGGGGCAAGCAGGGCAAGGACAGCTCGGGGAAGAAGGGGAGGAAGGGCAGAGCGGGCAAGGACAGCACGGCGGCGTAGTCGGCATAACATGCTGCCCTGGGCGGCAGGAGGGAGAGCAAGGAGGTCTGGTTGCTAGGGTGGCCTGGTATGGGCGGCGTCGATTGTGTAGTTTTCGTTTTGATTGCTTTTCGTTGTGCTTGCTTTTCGTTTGTGATTGCGTAGGTCTCTTGTTGGCTGTAACTTTTTGGTAGTGCATGTTAGCTTTGGGAGCGCCTGTAACTTGTAGGTAGTGCATGTGACTTTTTGGTTGTGCAGTCGGCGATGTCGACCTGAATCATGAATTGTACTCGGCGATGAACCATGTCGGCGTTTATGTTGGACTTTTTAGTATGATGGTCGGCGACAGGCCGCATTTAGAATTGTTGTATCATACATGTTCGTGTTGTTTCTCCGACTTCTAGAACGATATCAGCAGTACGTTTCGTTAAAGTCGACCACTATTACAGCATCATCAACCTACGCAAACACACATGCACCGGGGGGTCTTTATGCCGATTTCTTGCGCTTCGTCGGAGGACGCTGCGCAGGTGCTGTCTGCTTGGCCAAGTCGGCCTCGGTCTTCGGCATCTGCTCCTCCCAGGTGTCTGGAAACAGGCGGGCGACCCAAGTCCTCGGCTTCAGCTCGGTCGCCACCAGCGCACAGGCGAGGCGTAGCTTCGAGACCACCTTGGGGGCAAGCCCCTTGACGCCCATGCCATCCTTGGAATTCGTCGGTGCCGTTCCCGGGTTGAGCACCGTGAGGGCATCGCAGAAGGTCCCAATGCCTGGTGCCGCGATCTTGTTCAGTACATCGACAACTGCTTCGGTGTCGGCATCGCCGTCGCTCGCGCGTAGCTGGCGCACCGCATCCATGGCCTTCAGCATGCGGCGCACCCTCATGTTGAGTGCACCCTGCGTCGCGCCTTTGAGGAGGGTGTGGCGGTCGATGAACCCCGGCTCGGCGACCCTGTCGCAAAGACGACGGGTGTCATTGGCGGAGGCGGAGTTCCAGAGGCGCCAAGCGTCCCGCACGGTCTTTGCCTCCCTCCAAGGTTGCACCACGTTGAGCTCGTAACTAGCCTCCTCTTCCGTCTGAGGGGGTGGCGGGGGTTTCGCATCCCCTCTCTTGGCTCCGTCTCCCGTGTTGGCCGAATCCGCGGAGCCACCCTCGCTCGGAGCTTGCTCGGTCGCCGGCGGCGGAGACTCCGGCACTCTCCGTGCTTCTGACACACGGAGTGCCTCGGTGAGTCGAGCAAGCTCGGCGGTGAGCGACGCGATGGTGTCGTTTTGCATCTCGATCTTCTCCTGAAGGTCGAGCTTCTCGAGCGCGGAGCGCTCCATCTCCTTCTTCAGCGTCTCCTTGAGGGACATGTTGTGATACTGGGTGTCCATGCGGACGGAGATTTCCTGCAATGGTATGCGGAAAGGCGACAAGAGTTCAGAATTCACCGGTATTTGAACGACGCCGACAAAGTCGGCACCTCACCTCTGGCTGAATCTGTGTCGGGTCCCGGCGCTTTTTGATCGTCTCGGTGTCGACTGACTCGACCTTCTTCGCCCAGTGCTGGAAGAGGGCAATCCGGCAGAGCTTGGAACCTTGGACGTACGGGTGCCACGGTGTGCGGACGAGCTTCACCGCGAGGTCCTCGGCGACGATGCGTCGGAACATCAGGAGGGTGCGCAAGAAGTGCATGGCGGCTTTGTCGGCGTCGCTCCCGTTGACAGCACGCGTTTCCGCCTGCAAGTCGGCAAGTGATGTGGGTTAGTAGGGTGTTGGGCAGCCAACTAGGCCATGGCGACTGAATGACATTGTCGGCGTCGCTTAACATACATCGCGCAGCGTAGCATCCACGCCGGGGAAGATGTGCTCGCCGAGGATGTCCAAGAGTTTGACGGAGGGCTCAACCCTGCTGCGACCCAAGAAGTAGTCTTGCTTGAATCCCGAGTAGCCGGCCTTCCTCATCACCACCCCAACGGGAATGGCTGTGATGTACGCACGCGTCATCTTGTCGAGAGCCCAGTGTCCCAGCTCGGCGATCTCGGCGCGCGGCGTCCCTTCGATGGCTAGCTCCTGCGCACCTCCAGCGCGCGCGGCGTGCACGTTCCTTTTGCATAACACCTTGTTGGTCGTCCACATCTGCCGAGTCCAACGTTGGTGGCTGGCGGCGGAGAGCTCCTCTTGCTCCTTGTCGTTCTTGGCGAAGAAGAGATGCTTCTTGTACCAGCGTTCGCGTTCAGTGGTGTCAAGCGGCGGAAGGAAGTCGACGCCGGAGAACTGACCGATCTTGTCGAGGATGAAGTGCAACCACAGGCCGGTCTCGCCGACGGCGCACAACTCTGCTTCCAGGTGTCGTGCCGCGTAGCTCTGCTGAAGACGGGCATCCTTGGAAGTCTTCGAGTTACGCGCGGCGATCACCATGACGACAGGCTGGCTATCCGGGTTCACCGACGAGGTGCTCGCCAGTTGGTACAAGAAGACGTCGGGGAGCGTGATCTCGCGGATGCTGGCGCCGCGCAGGAGAGAGTGGTGGGAGAGTAGCGTGAGCACCTTGACGAGCAGGAATCTCCACAGCGTCTGCGACGGAGTGGTTGATCGCGGGTTCCATGCCGCCGCCGCCCATGTTGGCAGCACCTTCATCATGATCTCGCGGAACTATTCGGCGGTGTAGGTATCGCCGATGGTGCCGCGTCGACGGTCGGCGCAATTCCTGAACACAAAGCCACAGGGTATAGTTAGTTGGTGCGGCGTCGACTTCAGCTTGACGAGGACTGAGGGTGGCGGTGTCGACCAACTTACTTGAGGTCCCTCTCGTTCTTGGTGCGGACGTTGAACCGCACCTCCGATCTGACCACCGAGATCTCCCTCATGATGCCCAGCTCCTTCTCCCGGTACAGCGTTGCCTCCACCCTCGCCGCCATCTGGCATGCCTTTATGCGCCCGAGGATCGTGTGCACCGTTGTCGATCCCACAGGCGTGGCCTTGTTCCCCTTCTCGGTCTGGTCAACAATGAGGTTACACTCACGGCTCATTTGCTTCACGTAGGCGCGCAGGCGGGTTTCGGTGACCCTAGGGCCGTGCAGCCAGATGTACCGTCGGGGGACCTCGGCCTCGTTGCACCAATCCTTTTTCTTGTTGGCGCGGATGTAGTGGCCGATCTCGTCGACGTGCCTAAGTCGGTGCTCATGGGGTAGCTTGTCGCGTATCTACTTCAGCATCCTAGCCGCCCACTTCTTGTAGTGGTAGATGAACGAGGTGTACAGCCTGAGCGTGCTATTCTTCTCCAAGGTTTGTAGGTGGCGTAGTGCGTTCATGACGAGCACGTCGATGCTGGAGTACACCATGTCGTCCACTACGAAGTCTGTCGCCTTCCACTGTTCGCGTGGCACCGCCATGTTCTGCTCGTCCTCGTCCTCGTCCTGTTCGAGCATGTCATGTATGTATTCATACTTCTGCCTAAGGCGTTCTTCCAAGGTGCGCGGATTCGTGCTACGAGGAGGACGCTCGTCGAATTCGTCGTCGCTCTCTTCCTCGTCGTCGCTCTCTTCCGCGCCGGCCGGCACCGACGAAGGTCCAGGCTGACCATCCGGCGTCAGCACCGCCTTCTTCGTAAACTCCCCTATCAGCGGTTTCAGTATGTCCTTGGTGTACTCCCCTTCGGGAATCTGAGTCAGTTTGTCAAGATCGTATAGCAACTTCAGCGTCTCTTCGGGGGCAGAGGACGGATTGTGGTCGGTGGGGGCACCGACGTCGGCCATGTCGACGTCGGCCATGACCGCTCGTATATTGCTCTACCTTTGGCCCTGTGCGAGGTAAAGGTTGGACCACCAGAGACGGTATTGAATCACGGGTGCGGTGTACGCCCTAAGCGTCCTGCGTTCGTCTTCCTCGAATTCCCGCTCAAGTGCTTCTAACTCAGCGGCGATCTCGAGTCGTTCCAGCTGCGCTTTGATGTCGGCGTCTACAGAATCGGCAGGAGGTGGGATGGGTTGCGGCTGTTGGGCACTAGGCCGTCCTCTGGCCATGCGTCGCCGACTCAGTGAGGTGGTGTGGGACCGTCGTGATCTATTCGAACCCCTCCGACTTGCTGGCCTAGATCCTCCTAAGGCGAAGTCGACGACCAGTGGTCGACCTCAACACCGACCTGGTTCGTCTATGCCAGGTCGACGCGAAGGGTGCCGACGGGACCGTCGTGTCGGCGCTCGAGTAACCTACACATGCAGAGATAGCGAGGCTCGGAAAAAAATCTAAGTGCCAGGGGGCGCACAAAAGCATGAGAGAAACACGAAGCTGACAGGCAGAATGAGAGCATTGCGCATGGTCAAGGAGGGGTATGGTTGCGAGTGACTGCCCACCTGCCGCGCTCCACGCAACCCTCTTTGCAAGCGCCGCTGTCCATGTGTATGACGTGCCACGATCGATGCATGGCTAGTTTCACGCCGCTCTGCACTCAATGACCCCCCCGCCTGTGCCTTGCCACGGTGGAATTCACGTGCGCCACGTGCTATTGGCCAATCACTAGGTCCACTCTCCTGAAATGCCCTAGCGGCCTGCTTTCCCGCGCAAACGTTATCGACATGTGCATACCCGCGTGGCATCCGGTTGATCGACGCCGACATTCCCTGGGTCTTGGATTCTCTTCACCTAGACATGTTTGGGCCCGATCAGATTACGACGCGTGGTCCCGGCTGCTGCGGTTGGATCTTAGGGCGACACCGACATCCCTAAAGGCGGGTCCAATTTCCCGCGATCTCTGACTGTCTAGGTGGTCGACACCTGTACGTGCCCCCGCAAGTCGATTTTCGCCGCGTGGACGTTGGTTACATTTTTCATGGGCGCGCCGTCTTCCCGCGCAACAAAATTTGACAAGGGGTGCGACGCGTGGCCACGTCGCTGCCGTCGTGGCACCTCTCGATTTAGAGGTTCGATCGCGATCGTCCCTGTTAGGCCACGTGGCAGAAATCGCGGCTCGACGCTCGACGTGTCGAGCTGCGATTTCTTGTCCGCTGAGATATCCTTCTCGGGTTTCTCTCAGCGAAACCCGAGGTCGTCAGGCTGTCGACAATCCCGAGGGCCGAAGGGGCCCGGAGGACTGCCAGGTCGCCCCAGTTTGCCACTCGGAGGTCGTCAGGAGTTCGTCAGTCCCGAGGCCCCCCCTTGTCCTATCGCAACCGCGAAATTGGGCGGCAGTTTTCGTCGGCTGAGGTATATCTTCCCTCCTCTACGATCTCCGCCTCCACCTCAATCGGGCACCTCGGGGTAGAAGTCACATGTTTACCAGCCGAGCTTGGCGTGCCTGACGTACATCCTTTGCTTCGGCACGGGAAAGCTAGAGTAGCCGTACCAGAACTTGGCAAGGTCAAATTTCCGATGACCGAAAAATTTCTGAAATTCTCTCGAAGGGAAATATTTCCGCACTTCTGCACGGAGGGTCGTCTGTCGAGGAGATGTCGCTCCTCTGCAGAAAAGTTTTCTGCAGATGCGCCCTTCTCTTCGGCGGGTTCCTCTACGGCTGCACCCAACTTTCGCTTCGGCGAAGATGCCCTCCGCTGCAGAGAACAACGAACCTCCGCTCTCCTCTCATTCCTCTGCAACGCCATTGCCTTTTCGACACCCCTCTCTCCCTTCCAGTCTTTCTCATCCCTCTGCAACGTCATTGCGTTTTCTCAACACCCTTCTCTCCCTTCCGCTCTCTTATCATCCCGCAGTGCATCTCTCGTGTTCGCTCCACCATAGCAAGTCTCTACCGGCGACTCGACCATCACTACCGTGGCAAACCCCCACCTAGGCTGTTCACGCCATACTCTGGCGTTCGCTTTCACAAGCGCGACGAAGCACTCTTATGGTTGTGAGATTGTCGCGGGTAGCATAATGTCGCGGCATCGTGAGGCTGTGATCGTAGATCTACCAATCCGATCGCGAATTCTGCGATCAAGGACCACACAGCGACGATCATTTTATATAATGTGCGGGATAAGATGCGAGAGGGGTCAGGACCGGCGGCGTGTGCATGCGGGAGCATGGCGACAGCTGCAACTATGAGCAGAGGCTGGAGAATATCCTTGCTCGCACACACACAGCAGTGCCGTAGCTCTGGTCTCCACGTCCTGAGAGGAGATGGGTGTGAGTCACAGAAGAGAGACCGCGTGAAGGGAATGTAGGTGGGTTCGGATATGGATGCGCGAACTTCATTCAAACGCGCTGCTTTCGCCAAACACATGTAACCTGAAACAACATTCCATATTCTCTCGTTAAGAGAATATGGAGAAGGCACTTCTCATTTCTTCCGCAAAGCTGTTTCCAGGTTGCCTTGGTGGAAACCACCAAAGCTAAATTGTCACTGTCGCAAATCCTTTTCGCCGATTTCGTCCTGCTCGCAAAACCACCCTGCTCGCTGCTTTGGTTTCTAGAACTGGCAGAACCTAAAAATTCAAGACAGTCCTCGATGTCGCTATTAGAACTTGCACGAAGGTCCTCCCATGGCGACGGCTTGGTCAAACGACGCTCGGCTTGCTAAAGATCTGCGTTGGGAGGGTATGCATGGCGTGATGAACTTGCAGATCGGTACTAACGCGGCCACCATGGACCTGTATACCTTCGTTACGGCTATTAGCTTAGTAGCGCACGCGATCCGCCGCGGAAGTTCGCTACCCTTGAATTCCCTTCCGACGCTGACTGCTTGAGGCATTTTATGCTGGCAGAACCGTTATTATTGGTGAATGGCTTCGTTCGTTCCGGAAGCCGTTACCCGCATAGCAAACCCTAAGTCAAAACACCTTGATTCCGTTGAAACATAGATCCCATGGCTTTTAATATCCGATTCAGGGTCCCAGCGGGTCTACTTCGACTCGAATCAAGCGAGCCCGGAAGCCAAGATGCGTGCACCAGCAGTGGCAACGTCGCCAGCAGCTTCGCCGACAGCCATATGGACGTTCAACTCGCCATTTCTCCAATTGAGTTGCTCGAATCGGTCTTCAACAGGCTCTTTCAGTCCCATCTTTCCAACTGCTGCCTGCCGTCCGATCCACGTCAGCAGGGAGCACGAGGATGCAGAGGAAATAGATTCGGGGTTGGAAAGCAGCAGGTTCGGTTCATGGTTCTAGGTCAGGTTGTGTACCTCTCTTCCCACTCCACTGTGGAGCAAGCGAAGCTGAAACCCGGATCCACCATCAGAGTGCTTCCTGTGAGAACTGCGCTTGGAGGCGGAAAGGGGAATGCGAAGGCCAAGGAGGGAGGTGACGAGGGTGTGACTGGCCCTGCCTCTGCACCTGCTGCGAACTTGCCTCCTACTGCTGCTGCTCCTCCTCCTCCTTCTGCAACTCCCGCTGCTGCACCTGCTGCTGCCAAGCCTCCTGCCACGGCTGCTCCAGTCGCTGTACCTGCTGCTGCCGAGCCTCCTACCACGGCTGCTCCGGTTGCTGCACCTGCTGCTGCCAAGCCTCCTGCCACGGCTGCTGCACCTGCTGCTGCCAAGCCTCCTGCCACAGCTGCTCTGGTCGCTGCACATGCTGCTGCTGCCAAGCCTCCTGCCACGGCTGCTTCGGTTGCTGCACCTGCTGCTGCCAAGCCTCCTGCCACGGCTGCTCCGGTTGCTGCACCTCCTGCTGCCAAGCCTCCTGCCACGGCTGCTCCGGTTGCTGCACCTCCTGCTGCCAAGCCTCCTGCCACAGCTGCTCTGGTCTTTGCACCTGCTGCTGCTGCCACGCCTCCTGCCACGGCTGCTCCGGTTGCTGCACCTCCTGCTGCCAAGCTTCCTGCCACAGCTGCTCTGGTCTTTGCACCTGCTGCTGCTGCCACGCCTCCTGCCACGGCTGCTCCGGTTGCTACACCCGCTGCTATTGCTGTCAGCAGGCCATGTGGAATTGACTACAGCAAGTGGGACCACATCGGATCCAGCAGCAGCAGAGGCACAAGAGGGAGCGCTGGTGGAAGGGAAACGGCTCGAAATCCTGGCGGAACATGTTCTGGTGGTGGTGGTGTCTCCAAGGGAATTCTCGCCATTCGAGATGAAATTTGGAAGAATCGCAAGGAGATGGTGAGAAGGTGGAAGTTTGACGGGCGGAGGGGCTTATGGAGACACGAGGCTTATGAAATGAAAGCGCAGAAGGGGCAAGGTGAGGAGTCAGGTGGGAAGGTGCAGCTGGTTCCTCGGGCGGACATGGTGCATTATCTGGACGTCAACGACGGCTGGGGAGGTGCTGAGTGCGAGAGCTGCTTGGAGCGCGCAGTGTGCTACCTGGCCCAGTGCGAGGTGTACTTCGCCAACGTCGCTCTCCTGCGCGATGAACTGCGCAAGGTGGAGCTGCCCTCCGTTCCCTTGGCGCTGGGACTCCCAACAGGACTGCCGAGCGCAATAGGAGGTCCAAGCACAAGGGGAGGCCCAAGCCCGGGCGGTGTCTCCCAAGCCAGGGCTGCTGTGGAGTTCTCCTCGAGGGTCACAGTGTTTGGGGAGGAGGGGCAGAAGGGGCAGGTTAAGGGCCAGGAGGGGCCTGACGTGCAGTGGTGCTGCAAGTGTGAGCTGGCGCCGTTGCTGTGTGCGGAAGCCATGGTCACTGAGTGGATGGCTGAGCCTCGTGTGGGCGTGCTCATGGACCTGGGGAGGATCAGATCACGCCTGCCTGTCATCCTCGCTGCTACAGGTGCTAGCAATAAAAAACAAAAGAGTTCGGTTCGCCCCCGAACATGTTCGGGCGAACAGAACCCCCGTTCGCCATTTTGCTCATCCCTAGGTGCCCCTGCTGTTGCTTCCTCCGCTGCTGCCCCTACTGCCCCTGCCTCTGCTGCTTCTTCCTCTGCCTCTGCTGCTTCTTCCTCTGCCTCTGCTGCTTCTTCCTCTGCCTCTGCTGCTTCTTCCTCTGCCTCTGCTGCTTCTTCATCTGCCTCTGCTGCTTCTTCCTCTGCCTCTGCTGCTTCTTCCTCTGCCTCTGCTGCTTCTTCCTCTGCCTCTGCTGCTTCTTTCCCTGCTCCTCCTGCGGTTCCTGCTCCTGCTGCTGCTGCAGCGTTTTCCTGTTGCTGGCGCTGCAGCAGCTGCTGGGCTGCCTACCGCCGTGCTGTCAGCTTCGCTGCCTTCCTCGTGCTTGTGGCGAGGTGGCCCCGTTTCGTGACTCTGTGGCAGGTGCGAAAAGAGACGCAGCAGGTGGCCTACCCAGCGATTTTGGCGGAGCTGGGGGCAGGCAGGCAGGCGGAGCAGGATTGCTTTGCGTCCATGCTGGTGCAGGTGCTGGGGGTGAAGGAGAGCGCTCATCTGAAGGAAGGGTTTGGTGTTCTCATGCAGAATCTGCTGTCAGGCGGGCTGGAGAAGGCGCATGCAGAGGAGAAGGGGAGAGGGGGAGCTGGTGGTGCAGCTTGGGGGGCCTATTTGAGGAGGCTTATTTGGGGTGCTGTTGGGGACTAGGGCGAGAATGGTCTGAAAGGGCGTGTGTGGGAGAGGTATGTGGATGGCATGGCTTGGATTCTAGAGCATGGAGGCGAGGAAGGAAGGGAGTTCAGGTGCAGCCACTGCAATGAGGGGGGGAGCAGCAGCAGCAGTGGCAATGGCAGTGGCAGCAGCAGCAACAGTGTGGGCAGTGGGATGGAAGGCAGGGATGTTCCCAAGGGCATGTACGTGAGTGGCTTGGGTGCCACTGACTTCGCCCTGGCTGTCGCATCAGTGTACTCGAGGCTGGAGACGCGCAAGGGCGAGGACTGCTTCTGCATCGATGCCAGCAACCCCCAGCAGACCCGCGTGGAGACTGCTGCGATTGAGGAGGCGAGGGATAGAGTGAGACGTGCGGGGCTGGCACGCGGGGTGAGTGAGAGAGCAGGAGGAGCAGGAGGGGCAGAAGGGGCAAAAGGAGCAGGGGGAGCAGGAGGGGCAGAAGGAACAAGAGGAGCAGGAGGATTGGCGTCTGATGCCACTGAGATGCATGTGAGCAGCACAGGGCTCGTGCCTGTCAACACCAACCCAGCTGTTGCTGTCGTGACGTATCAGGTTGGCTGTATCTTGCAGTGGGCCCGAATTTACGGCTCAAATACTACCTTAGAGAAGAATTGCTTCAAGGACAGCCCACAAGGCAAGGTCCTGCCCATGCGTCATCCACTTCGGGACCTACCGAGCCTGCTTCTCAGGTTCGGCGCCATCCCTGAGCCTCTGGACGGCAGGAGCTTCTCCTTGGAGTGGGAGGAGTGGCCTCAGGGCGAGGAAGCTGCTCTGAAGCTTCCTGACGACCCCAGTGCAAGGTGCTTTGGCCTGGGGATTCCGAAAGCCGATAAGAGGAGAGAGGAGAGTAAAGACAACCCCCCTGCCCAGTCGTCCAAGGCGGGAGGTAGGAGGAGGGATCGAAGGAACAAATGGCGTGGGGGAGAGCAGGGAGGCATGAAGAACCCACTCACTCGCACTCCCTCATCTCCTCCCACCACTAGCCACCGTCCCATCGTTCGCTGCGCAGCAGACGTGGAGTGTATTTTGGAGTTCGCGGCTGCCATGCTCACCCCACCGGACTGCTCCGAGTGCAAGAGGTGCATCAAGCGCTACACCTCCCACATCCCCTTCGTCACCCTCGTTGCCAACTTCGCCTACCGCCCCGCCAGCGTGCTGTTCTACCGCTTCCTCTCGGTCTTCCTGCCGCACTCCAAGGAGTTCAACAACCTCGTCCGCATGTTGGGCCTGGACCCCTTGCCCATGGGCGCCTCTCTGGAGGAAGAGAGGGAGAATCTTGAGCGCGTGCGGGAACAGGCAGAGCGTGTGCCCGTGGCGCTGCTGCTCAGCATTGCTTTGAGATGGCCCTGCCCCATTCTCGTCCCCGGTGGGTTTGAGAAGGACGGCACCCGGAGGCCATTGGAGGCGCAAGGGTGGGTTGGAGGAGGGAGGTTTTGGAGCCCGGGGGCCTTTGGGGATGGCGGGGGTGGCGAGGAGGATTGCTGGGATGATGGCGAGGTGTGGGCGGAGGTGTGGTCGTGGTGCGGTGCGGCGATGCTCGCTTGGCCGGCTTATGTGTCGGGGGGCAGTGAGACATGCAGAGGCAGACGGGAAGGGAAGGCGAGTGAGCCGTTGAGCCCTGAGGCGGTGTATGATCTCTGCCGGGGGACTGCCCACGTGCGGTACCGTGGAGACATGGAGGCGCAGGGTGGATCTGGCAGCAGGAGCAGCAGCAGGAGCAGGAGCAGCAGCAAGAGCAACAGCAAGGGCAGCAGCAGTGGCAGCAGCAGTAGCGGCAGTGAGAAGAAGGGAGAGAAAGGGGAGGAGGCGGCTTATCTGAAGGCATGGCCGGGGGGAGTGAATCTGGTGGCGTGTCTGCGAGAGCTGCTGCTGGGGGAGCCGTGCTACCGCCCTGCCTCCCCTGCTGCCCCTTTCACCCATCTTGCTGCTGGCAGCACATGTACCGGGCAGAACAGCACTGCCAGTGGTAATGCAGTACGTGGAGGCTCGGCTAGGCAGAGGCTAGTCAACGCAAAAAGGTGTGGCTGCGCTGGTTCTGGAGGGCTTGTGTGCGGTGCTTTGGGATGCGATATGGTGCTTGGAGATGTGGTGTGTATCTGCAGTCGGTGTGGCGTGGTGGCGTATTGCAGCAGAGAGTGCCAAAAGGCGGACTGGCCCTTCCACAAGCTTGTGTGCAAAACCTACTCCAGCAGCATGGTGAGTCACAAGCTCTGTTTCTGTGTGCAAGGTCAAGAGCCAGAACCAGTGACAAATCTAGCGTGGCATGGAAGGTGCTACCAACTAGTGAGGGGTATTGTGAGGCTAAGTGACCACAAGCACGTTTGGCATCTCAGTCGCTAGTGTTTAGGCGCCAAACGCTTCAAAGGCATGGTAAACGCTCGCCTGGGCAGGCCAAAATGTGTTCGGGCAAGGACAAAAAAGAATCCCCATAAGAATGGGGAGTGAGGGGGGGGGGGAGGGGGATGGGGGGAGTTAGGCCGCAGCATGCTACCGGAAGATAGGGATTACAAAATCCGTGCTCGTGATCGGAGTTGCTGCGTAGTTTTGTTGTGCTGGGGTTGAGTATAAGTTGGGGAGCTTTGGGGTTGGCCAGAGGTTTTATTGAGGCAAAACAGCCAACAAGCAACCTGGCAAGGTTCCAGTTTTAAAAAAGTGTCAAAACCTTTTGAGGTGAGTTATTGATGAGGTGTGATTAGCAAGTGAGTGGGTGAGAATGCGGGGTGATTGTGCACATACACAGGTGGTTCCATGGTGGAATTTCTCCTTGCTTCCCATGTATTGACAAAGATACATGTCTCGCTTCCCTAGGGGCATTGTATTCGCATTGGTTTGGAGTGGTCTCATGTGCTGCTTGCCGTTCGAAACGCCTCAAGTATTGACCCCACGTACTGCTTGCCTTTCTGTCCTCACATCGGTGGCAGCTGTCAGGAGTTTGGGGGTTCGTGTTTCTGCTCGTTGTCATATTCCTGCTATGGCACCTGCTGTGGTCGGCTCACTGAGGTTGGGAGCTTTCCTTGTTGCCGAGGTTGTTACTATGCCTGCTGTGCCATGCTACAATATGCAGTCGCCCCCTCCCGACTTTCCCCCTCTCCACCTTCCCTTGCCTTTCCCGCTTACCTCTTTCGTGTGGAAGTTGTCGCGTAGTATTGTTGATTTCATGCATTTCTCTTGGTCGGCGCCAGCGACACCCCTAATGCCAGCATCATGAGCTCTGACGATCCTTTTCGCTGGCTGTCCTCCTTGCAACAGATGGTCGCCCGCCGTGACCTCATTGCATTCCTTCCTTGTCGCATGGTTGTCTCTTTATTCTTCCTGGCTTCCTGGTGTGTGTGTGTGTGTATGTGTGTGTGTGTGTGTGTGTGTGTGTGTGTGTGTGTGTGTGTGTGTGTGTGTGTCTCTGTTTTTTTTTTTGTTACCCGCTCCTTTCCAGGGCCTATGATTCACTTTTAGGCATGTTAAGGCATCAGGGTCCCCCTGTGTAGAATCCCTGATAATCAGTGTCCCTAAAAAAAAAACCCTGAAAGTTCAGTGTTACCTAATAAAAATGTCTGATGCATCAGTGTTCCCTTTTTGTAAACGCTGATTTTACACTTCAAATACTAAAACACTAACTAGCTAGCTAGTAAGCATCGGCAACAGCAGAGCAGAGAGAGGGTTCAATAATCAATTACTCATCATCAGTGTCATCACTGCAGTTAGCCTCTGGTTCTTCCAGCTCCTCCTCATCTGCCTCCTTTCCCTTGCCGTTGCCACTGCCCTCCCCCTCTCTTGCTGGAGCCGCCGCAATTTGTCAAACATATGCATTTGTTACATTTCTGGGTAGGCTGTAGTGGGGTAGATACTGTGGGGTATAACCCCTTAGGGTTTCTCTCTTGTACCAACTCTCTCGATAGTCAATCCTCAATGCCTAAGTCTTCAACATGGTATCTAGAGCAGTAGGTCTTTTTAGGACCTAAGATTAGGGCCCACCGGTTACCGCGTTACCTCACCTGCCTGCCTGCCTTGCCTACTGCCCGCGCGCGCCTCGGCTGCACGTGCGCGGCCCCTTTTTTTTCCCGCGCGCGCCGCTTAAGCAGCCCGCGCAGCCCGTTTTCGGCCCCGCGCGCCGCGTTAGCTGCCCGCGCAGCCTGCTGCCGGCCAGCGCGCCGCCTAAGCCGCCCGCGCGCAGCCTGCTTAGGCCCCGCCCGCGCAGCCCGCCGCCGCACGCAGCACGCAGCCGCGCGCAGCCCGTCGCCACGCGCAGCCAGCAGCCGCGCGCAGCCCACAGCCGCGCGCAGCCCGCAGCCGCGCGTGCCCTGCCAGTGTGCCGCCCGTGAGCCACGCGCCTGCCTGTCTTAGCCTGCCTGGAGAGCCTGCCTTGAGTGCCTGCCTGACAAGAGCGCCTGCCTGCCTTGAGTGCCTGCCTGCCTTGAGCGCCTGCCTGCCTAGTGCGCCTGCTTGCCTTGAGTGCCTCCCTACTACGCGCATTTGCTTGCCCTGCACGCCATCTCCGCTGCCTTGCCTGCACTGCTACTATGGCGACGCTTAATGTGCTCGTGTTCGATCCAGACGGTCGTCCAGTAGAGTTCGCCACCTGGCTCGACGACCTACAACTGTTCCTCCTGACTGATGCCAAGGATGGTGTTTCCCTGTTCGATTACGTGTCTGGCACTGCCGTTGCTCCTGCTGACACTGAGACTGCTCTAGCCCGCTCCCAATGGCAGACCCGCGATGCTGCTGCGCGCCTAGCTATTCGCAACCATCTGCCGATCACAGAGCGAGCGCATTTTAGCCAGCACAAGACTGCCAAGGCACTGTACGAAGCTGTAGTTGCCCGCTACTCTTCCCCGGCCACTGCAGCCCTCGGTCGACTTATGCTACCCTACCTGTTCCCCGACCTGTCCTCGTTTACCACCGCTGAGGACCTCATCTCTCACCTACGCGCTAGTGACACTCGCCTTCGTGCCGCCCTTCCAGCCGAGTTCCTCGCAGAGAACCATCCCCCGATGTACTTTACTCTCTACTTCCTCATCACCCGCCTCCCTGACACTCTTCGCTCAGTCAGGGACCACTTCCTCGCCCTTGACCCCCATTCTCTCACTGTCGACGACCTCGAGAAGCACCTCCTAGCAGCCGAGAAGAACATTCTAGCTGTAGGTGCTGCTCGTGGTACTCCTCGCACTCCCCTCTTTGAGGGGTGCTCCCCCTCCCCTCTTACCCCCTCCTACGCCTCCGCAGCTGCTGCTGTCGACCTCCTCGGTGCTGAGCAGGTCGCAGTGGGAAGCGCAGCGGCTCCAGGGGAGGCAAGGGTGGCAGGGGTGGCGGACGTGGCGGTGGAGGGGGCGGTGGTGGAGGTGGCGGGGGAGGTGGAGGTGGTGGGGGTGGTCGTGGGGGTGGAGGTGGTAGTGGGGGCGGTGGTGGTGCCGGGAGCGGTGGCGGTGGCGGCGGCGGTGGTGGCGGAGGGGGGAGTGGTGGTGGCAGCGGTGGTGGGGGCTTGGGTGACACCAGTGGTGGCCAGGGGCAGCAGCAGCAGCAGCAGCAGCAGCAGCAGCAGCGTCAGCGCCAGACCCCCACTTCCCGGCAGCTTCTTGACTGGTATGCTGGGCGTGGGGCGTCTGGGGGTCCTGGTCGCTGCCCCTATATCATTCGCACAGGTCCCCGCGCTGGTCGCCAGTGCACAGGGTTTCACACTGAGTACCGCTGTTTTGCTCTGCTTAGCGACGCCTGGCGCGTCAAGTTTCCTGATGCTACTGAGTTCCCCAACTGGGCAGACCTGCTTAGGCGTGATGTACCTATCTTTGATCTTGACTATGAGGCTATTCTTGCTGCCATGTATGCATTGACTGTTAGTGCTGAGGGTGACTGCTACTTGTGTGTGCCGCCTGACCCAGGTATAGCCCCAGGTATAGCGCCTGTGGCACTAGGTGCTTGTGAGTCTGCTCCCCCTGGTACTGCGTCCGCACAGGCCTTGCACACCTTCACACTTGACTCTGGTGCTTCCCGCTGTTTCTTTCGCGACAGCACCACAGTCACTCCCCTCCCTGCACCTGTTCCTGTCTCGCTGGCTGACCCCTCTGGGGGCCCAGTGCTTGCACGGTCTTCCACTGTGCTTCCGTGTCCGGCGGTCCCGTATGGTGAGCTGTCTGGTCTCCACCTCCCCTCGTTCTCTACGAACTTGGTGAGCAACGCCGTCCTTCAGGATCACTGGGTTGACACCTTTACTCCTGGAGGACAGCGTGTGGCGATCTGCACTTGCTCCCGGACCGGCCGTCACCTGGCCACGTTCACACGTGCGCCTGGGTCTAGTCTGTACACCCTCACCACTGCGTCGCGCTACACCCCTTTGTCTCCCCAGCTGTACGCGTCTGCTCAGGTAGCTACCCAGTGTGAGTGTCGCCGACTGTCACACGACACTCTCCTGTGGCACCACCGCCTTGGTCACCCCTCCCTGCCTCGCCTTCGTAGCATGCACTCTCGCTTCCTGGTCTCTGGCCTTCCCAGCTCTCTCCCTGCCCTCCCTCCCTCGCCTGCGCCGCCCTGCATTCCTTGCGTCGAGGGGCGGCAGCGCGCCGCTCCTCACTCCTCCTCGTTCCCTCCCACAGAGGCTCCACTGCAGACTCTCCACCTGGACGTGTGGGGCCCGGCCCGCGTCCGTGGACAGGGCCACGAGCGGTACTTCCTGCTGGTCGTCGACGACTACACGCGTTACACCACGGTCTTCCCCTTGCGCAGCAAGGGGGAGGTCCCTGATGTTTTGATCCCCTGGATCCGCGCTGTTCGTCTCCAGCTCCGCGAGCGGTTCCAGTCGGACTTTCCTGTCCTGCGTCTGCACTCTGACAGAGGTGGTGAGTTCTCCTCAGACCTCTTGGCAGCCTTCTGTGCGGAGCACGGCATCCGCCAGACGTTCACGCTTCCGGCCTCTCCATAGCAGAATGGGGTTGCTGAGCGCCGCATTGGCTTAGTCATGGAGGTCGCTCGTACCTCCATGATCCATGCGGCTGCCCCCCATTTTCTGTGGTCGTTTGCGGTCCGGTACGCCGCGCATCAGCTCAACCTCTGGCCCCGTGTCTCCTTGCCGGAGACCTCGCCCACACTGCTGTGGACGGGGAAGGTTGGCGATGCGTCGCGTTTCCGGGTCTGGGGTGCTCGTGCCTTTGTCCGCGATACCACCGCGCCTAAGTCGTCAATGCCTAAGTCTTCAACACAATTTCCTCAATAGAAGGCGAGGAGCTGTCTTGATCTAGCACAGGCGCTGTAGGGGAGGCACACAACCCCTCATCTATGGGTTCGAAAGGAAAAAAATGGGCGGCGCGACCTGAGGTGCCTTTTCATGGTTGTCGATTTGGGCGAAGCTGGAAAAAAGGAGATCCAGGCCGGTAACAGCAGCGGAAACGTCATCTGCCGAACGACGATGCGCATCATCGCCTAGGTCGCCAGTAGTTACCAGCTCGTCCTGGGGGTCCGCCATAGCTTGCAGCGGTACTAACTTGCATCTAACTAGAAAGAGCAGAGCTTGGGAAACCACACGGCTGACTGCCTCTTGGTACACCAGGCAGGAACGGCAAGAAAACCCAAGAGGATGGCTGGAAATGATGGAGCAGAATGGGATGGGAGCCTCGATGGCAGGTAGCACGGCTGGGCGGCGTGGATGCATAAGTGGTTGCCAGCACGATCTGGACAAAACGGGCCACACGACCACAGGTGCAAGAAACCCTCGCACCGCACGCTGCCAGCATTGCTATGTTGCAACCGTGTGATTGGTCAACCCACGCAATGATGCAAAAGTGGGCAATGATCGTTCCACGCGCGCCAAATTCAGCAGCCCTCCAGGTGTAAAACACGGGGCAAATTTGTCTGGTACTCACCGCCAGGCTGTGCTGATACCGCGGGAATCTGAGATTCCCTGTACTTCTGGGCACCTACACTCAGCACGTGTAGAAATCGCATTCAGGGTCAGGTTCGTTACAACGTAAAGTGATCAGTGTCCCTTGGAAAAAAATCCTGAAAGATCAGAGTCATCTGGCACCTAAAGGCTGAAAAATCAGTCCCTAAAAAAAACGAACACTGAAACATCAGGATTGCTACAAAAAAATCCCTGAAAATCAGGAATTTCAGGGAAAAATTCCTGATAACGTAGGGCCTGCTCCTTTCTCCAACCTCGGGCAGAAGATCCTTAATTCTATTGCAGATGAGTTTCCAAACACCAATGATTACTGTTTGTGCCCCTGCCGCACGCACCATCTCTCGAACCAAACTGCTGGTGTGGTGGTTTCCAACCTGGGGATAGAGGGGACTACTCGGAAAAACAAGTACAAAATAAACCAAAACAAGGTCAGTAAATTGGGCAAGTTAGCAACCCATTAAATGATACGGTATATCTTGTCAAGGCTGGCTTTGGTGATTAGTCAAACAGAAGTACAACTAAACAACCTGATTGTAGATTCCTTCGGGTATGTAGAGATGGGACACATTGGTTACATGGCAGCCAAGCCTATTGTGACAGCAGCCATTCCGCGCTGAGCTGACAGCCACCGGTTACCATGCGACGACTCAGTGCACCACGGCACCCACCCTGCATGCCCCCTCTGGTAGAGCGAATCTGCGGAGGGACAAACATTGCAGGCAGGAATGCCTCTGAAGTTTGAAGGCCCAACATGGGCAGTGATGCAGCCAACACAGGTTAGGGAAAAAAAAAAAAAAGTTCAAGAGCGGGTTCTGTCGCCAAGAGAACAACCTGACAGCTACTGCAGGGTGATGACGCTGCCAAGGGCATATGAAATTGACCCCCTTACGGCAATCTTACTGAGAATCCTGGTGTGGTACCAAGGTTTTTGCACGGGTAGCATGGTGGAGAAATGGGTGGAGAGGGCAGGAAAAGGATGGCACAGTCAACAAATGAACATGCTGAAAATGGATCGTTACTACGCATAAGAAGACCTGGACCGGACCATACACCACACACAAGAGTGCGGGAGGGAGAAGGGCATTAGTAAAGACACACACGAAGACGCAAGGAGGAAAGTGAGTAACAGGGTACCACGGGATATCACGACATGGCATGACAAGCAACCACGTCTTCCTTGTCGTGTGGTGCAAAATTTCTAATTTCAAGAGATCATTTACAAGCAACCATGTCGCTTATCCAATGGGCCACTGCAGAGCCATCGACAGGAGCAATCAGTCTGGCGACCAGCCTTCGCTCCCACGCGCTGCACTCTCACGGTACAATCCCCTATTCACACGCTTACATACAGGAGAGTCGTGTCACTTTCGAAAAATCTCAAAGATGACACATGCTACATTCATTTTGTCAGGTGGGTGAGATTCTTGAATGTCCAGGATGTCCAGGAACTGAGCCCTCTGAAACGGAAAGGGTGGGAACTTGGGCCTTGACAGAGCGACCAGGGGCTGGTGTCTAGACACAGCGACAGGGGATAGGGCCTCGGCAAAAGAGCAGGGGGCTGGGCCGAAACATGAGCATGGGACTGCCCCTTCGGGTGGGCCTGCTTTGTATGCGGTGGCGAGGCTTAAGTTTCTCCGTGTTGGCGCCGCCATCCCTGCAGGCCCTGGCAGGGAACGCTCATGCCGCAGCTTGAGCTGGCTGCAGAGCTGGCTGCAGTAGTGGCACTCGCGACTTGACTTTGTGATAGTAGATGCATGTAGTGCTTCACTCACCTGCCCTGTGCTTCACTCACCTGCCCTGTGCTTCACTCACCTGCCCTGTGCTTCACTCACCTGCCCTGTGCTTCACTCACCTGCCCTGTGCTTCACTCACCTGCCCTGTGCTTCACTCACCTGCCCTGTGCTTCACTCACCTGCCCTGTGCTTCACTCACCTGCCCTGTGCTTCACTCACCTGCCCTGTGCTTCACTCACCTGCCCTGAGATTCACTCACCTGCCCTGAGATTCACTCACCTGCCCTGTGCTTCACTCACCTGCCCTGTGCTTCACTCACCTGCCCTGTGCTTCACTCACCTGCCCTGTGCTTCACTCACCTGCCCTGTGCTTCACTCACCTGCCCCGAGATTCACTCACCTGCCCTGTGCTTCACTCACCTGCCCTGTGCTTCACTCACCTGCCCTGTGCTTCACTCTCCTGCCCTGAGATTCACTCACCTGCCCTGAGATTCACTCACCTGCCCTGTGCTTCACTCACCTGCCCTGTGCTTCACTCACCTGCCCTGTGCTTCACTCACCTGCCCTGTGCTTCACTCACCTGCCCTGTGCTTCACTCACCTGCCCTGTGCTTCACTCACCTGCCCTGTGCTTCACTCACCTGCCCTGTGCTTCACTCACCTGCCCTGTGCTGCACTCACCTGCCCTGTGCTTCACTCACCTGCCCTGTGCTTCACTCACCTGCCCTGTGCTTCACTCACCTGCCCTGTGCTTCACTCACCTGCCCTGTGCTTCACTCACCTGCCCTGTGCTTCACTCACCTGCCCTGTGCTTCACTCACCTGCCCTGTGCTTCACTCACCTGCCCTGTGCTTCTCTCACCTGCCCTGTGCTTCACTCACCTGCCCTGTGCTTCACTCACCTGCCCTGTGCTTCACTCACCTGCCCTGTGCTTCACTCACCTGCCCTGTGCTTCACTCACCTGCCCTGTGCTTCACTCACCTGCCCTGTGCTTCACTCACCTGCCCTGTGCTTCACTCACCTGCCCTGTGCTGCACTCACCTGCCCTGTGCTTCACTCACCTGTCCTGTGCTTCACTCACCTGCCCTGTGCTTCACTCACCTGCCCTGTGCTTCACTCACCTGCCCTGTGCTTCACTCACCTGCCCTGTGCTTCACTCACCTGCCCTGTGCTTCACTCACCTGCCCTGTGCTTCACTCACCTGCCCTGTGCTTCACTCACCTGCCCTGTGCTGTACCGCTCCTGAGCTGTGGGAAGACGGATAAGGGGGAACACGGGCAAGGGGGAAAACGGACAAGGGGGAAAACGGACAAGGGGGAAAACGGACAAGGGGGAACACGGGCAAGGGGGAAAACGGACAAGGGGGAACACGGACAAGGGGGAACACGGACAAGGGGGAAAACGGACAAGGGGGAACACGGACAAGGGGGAAGACGGGCAAGGGGGAAAACGGACAAGGGGGAACACGGGCAAGGGGGAAAACGGACAAGGGGGAACACGGACAAGGGGGAACACGGACAAGGGGGAAAACGGACAAGGGGGAACACGGACAAGGGGGAACACGGACAAGGGGGACAAGGGGGAAAACGGACAAGGGGGAAAATGGACAAGGGGGACAAGGGGGAAAACGGACAAGGGGGAAAACGGACAAGGGGGAACACGGACAAGGGGGAACACGGGCAAGGGGGAAAACGGACAAGGGGGAACACGGACAAGGGGGAACACGGACAAGGGGGAAAACGGACAAGGGGGAACACGGACAAGGGGGAAGACGGGCAAGGGGGAAAACGGACAAGGGGGAACACGGGCAAGGGGGAAAACGGACAAGGGGGAACACGGACAAGGGGGAACACGGACAAGGGGGAAAACGGACAAGGGGGAACACGGACAAGGGGGAACACGGACAAGGGGGACAAGGGGGAAAACGGACAAGGGGGAAAATGGACAAGGGGGACAAGGGGGAAAACGGACAAGGGGGAAAACGGACAAGGGGGAACACGGACAAGGGGGAACACGGGCAAGGGGGAAAACGGACAAGGGGGAACACGGACAAGGGGGAACACGGACAAGGGGGACAAGGGGGAAGACGGACAAGGGGGAAGACGGACAAGGGGGAAGACGGACAAGGGGGAAAGCGGACAAGGGGGAACACGGACAAGGGGGAAAACGGACAAGGTGGAAAACGGACAAGGGGGAAAACGGAGAAAGGGGGAAAACGGAAGGGGGAAAACGGAAGGGGGAAAACGGATAAGGGGGGAAATGGATGAGGGGGAAAATGGATAAGGGGGAAAATGGATAAGGGGGAAAACGGAAGGGGTAAAATGGATAAGGGGGAAAACGGCGAAAGTGTCAGTGTTCACACGGTTACTCCCGGTCGTCTCACCATCGCCATCGGGCGACGATGAGGAAGGCAATGTAGATCGCCATTCGACCCACCATCGCCAACTGCTCACCGCGCAGTCCGACGCCTGCGATGATCGCGACGTTGACTTGCAACATGCAGCTGCGACGCGGCGCTACGACTTTCTCGGCACTCGCGGAGCAGCCAAGGCACCCGTGACGCTCGCTCAACTCGCCGCCGACATTACGGATGTCGGCCAGCAGTATTACCGTAGCGCTAATGATTACTGAGTCAAATCATAGGGAATCCAGACGACTGGGCAAAAATGACGTTCCTTTTGAGACCATCCTTCGAGATTACATCAGCAGAAACGGAAGAAGGACGAGGAAGGAATCATGGCCATTAGAGGCCCATTTCGCTGGGGGGAGCAAGAAATTGGCAGGAGGCTGCGGGAGGGAGGGCGGGAAAAAAGCGTATCCGCCAGTCTTTTCTCTGATGCGCCGTGTCAATTGCGCATTCGTTCTACTTGCGACGGCGGGGGGAGGGGGGGGGGGGGGGGGGGGGGAGTGGGGGGGGGGGGGAGGTGGGGGGTGTGGAGTGGATAAGGTGTGAGAGTGATGTATCCTTCGTAATTCGGACGTTAGACCACGTTCTGACATCCGATAACGAGTAGGAATCAGATGATGAGCATCACACGTTACTGTCATCTTGCCATATGATGTTTTAGCCAACTCAAACTTCGCACGACGGAACGCTGAACAGTAAACTCTATCTTATCGCTAGACCACTTGATGGTTCTAGATGGCGACAAGGTAGGTCGCGGGCTGAGCAGCTAATTAGCTATGTCACCAGGTCGGGAGGTCGCTGATGCTATTGCCATAATAATAAGCATGTTGGAAATATGAGTTGAGATCTTTGTATGCTGGGAGCATTATTCATCATTTGCAGTAGTGGCCATTAGGGTTTCGTTTCGTTCCGTTATTGCGATAGCCAATGAAGAGGTCGGTGTTCGTCAAACAGGGTCAGCCGCTGTCCTGATTCGTCTGACTACACGTACCTGGCGAGATCTTTTGCGAGATTTTTGGTAGTTCGACACTCCCTGCTGGCATGCCACACCACCACCTAAACTCACATTACCTTGGAGTTCGCGAGAGCCGGGTAACTCGACGATAATTTCGCATTTGTCGAGATCCTCACTCCACGGCTGAACGGAAGGTCGCAACTCCCGAATTTGACGATTTCTCAGCGATGTTGGCCTGTCGCAGCGACGAAGAAAATTGCGAAGCAGATCTTGGCAAGGAAAAATGGGACCTCATCTCCCACCCTCACCTCCTGCCACTCTCTCTCCTGCCAGATCCTCGATCTACTCGCTTCATTTACTTAGCTGCCACAGTAGTTTCGTAGTTGAACCGTCTACAAATGATTCACCCGTTTTTATTGACGCTTAAAATCACTGCTACTTGTAGTCGTTGCGCACAGCTTCACAAGCGATAGAATAACTACCGTTTCCTGGAAGCTTGGCGCACCACGATGGCAACGGCGCAGCTCAGTTTACTCATATTTCTGGCGTGTCTCGCCGTCGTTTTTCCAGTCCGCTGTGTCCCGTTCGCCGAGTCCCTAGGCGCCGTGGATTATCCAGTCTACCATGTCCCGTTCACCGAGTCCCAAGGTTCGTCTGCAGAACAAGAACTTCAAAGCTAGGCCGCGCGATGCGACAAGGCGTAGAATATAAGCAATATAATGCGATCATGCGCCAATATTCTCTCACCACATGAGGAAATTTTCCTCGTGCTCCCATCACACCTGTTTGCGACTGATGGTTTGAGCTGATCATTTTATCTCTTCTTCCCTCCCACTTCAGAAGCAGGGCGTTCCGTCCCTTATATAATTTCCTGTCTCCTGCTCGCCGCTCCTCTCCTCCTGCTTGTGCAACCAGTGCAACTCCTGCTGGCTGAATTCCGGCACCCATAGGGGTGGGAGTTTGATGTGTGGGTGGCTTTTTGCCATGGGTGGATGGAGCCAGGGCAAAGGCGTCGTGTACTACTTAGTCGTAGTAAAATCACTTGCCGTGCCTAATGTAATATAAGTTATATCACTTGCTGCGCGTAATGTAGTCTAATCACTAGTTGTGCTTATTTGATCTCTCCAGTGTACACCTTCTACTATGGATCAGTGACCACGTCATGCCCATGGTTCCATGTGCATAATGCTTATCGCTTAGCAGTTTCAGTGTTTCTGGGTAATTCACCATGTGTCCATTCCGCATTCATGTGGCGCAGGCTGATGAGGGAGGAAGAGAATGGTGCAACACACAGGTGATGAGAGTAGATTTTCCGTCCTCCGTTCTCTTCCCATCCTCTTCCCATCCTCTCCCTCTATCCTTCTCTTGCCCTCCTGTCCCCCCTCCCCCACCATCTGCCGCCAGCGCAAGTCCTGCTGGACTTGCAGCAGGCATGGAGGAGGAATTTCTCTGGGTGGGTGGCTGGGGGGGACTGCAGCTTAGCCCATGGTGTGTGGTGCGATGCCGAAGGCATGGTGTCTGCAATGTGAGAGCACCAACCCTAGCTTGTCTTGCATCCTCCATGTGAGCACCAACTCTTGCTGGTCTTTACTTAAGAGCCTTTGTTTTCTCTCTCGCTCCACCCTTTTGCGTGCTCTGTATTTGCTATTCAGTGAGTTTACCCTTGCTGACCATGCATTTCAGTGAGTGTACCCTTTCGAATCATCCCTCCTGTATGTGAAGTTAAGTTAAGGTTAATCAAGATTAAAAAACATATTCCACGGAGAGTTTGGAATGACCTCCCATCTGATGTTTGATGTTCCTATGTTTTACATCATTGGAGAAGTGGGGTTCCATAGAGGGAGATAGAGGTTAATCATGCCTAAGTCAGAGAATTAGTTTTGCATGCCGAGGGGAATAGAAATGTAACTGCAGCATGTTCGTGTGCGACAACAGTTCAGGTAGATCTTGTGAAGGGGAAGGGGGCGGAGGGGAGAAAATGGGTAAGTGGAAGGGGGAGGCGGCAGTGGTGTATATGGGAGGTGTGGAAAAGTTCGCAGTGAGTGTGCTGGGGGCCTGCTGGAGGGGTTGCTACGTGCTTGGAGTCCCATGCGAGACTCCGTGTGGGGACGAGATTCACACTTCGAGTGCCATTTATCAACAGCAAACGCAACGTCCATTTGAGAACGGAAGGCAGACATCTGTACGCCATTCTCGGTGTTAATGCTGGCTAATCTAGTACCTTATCAAACCCCCTTCAATCCTCCGGTTCCCTTCGTTTCCCTTGTGTTATGGCTCATGTTGAAAATATTTTAGTCCAGCAAAACACTACCGTAATGCACTCTAGGTTGCTATCATCTTCATGCATGTAAGCACAGGTGGACAACACATGGGCTGCACGGGCCTCTCCTTCTCAAATATCACCGAGACCACCCTTTTCTTTCATTCTTGACCCCGTTTCCTCATAAGATTTTAATGTTCCCCACCCATTCCATTCCACTGCCCACCAGCCGTCTGTACAACGTAGGCTTAACTGGATCCATTCCAGATTCCATCAGTGCCTTGTACGAGCTGACCTTTTTGTGAGTATGAGTGGGTGGGAGCATGCACATGAGTACGAGAATGTGAAGATGGGCATATGCAGAGATGAGCCTGAGCAAGGCATGAGCAATTGCCTACATACATGTGACCAACCAACTCGTGATGAGCTGGGGGCGACCATCATCGTATGATGGCCAGCCGGTGGCCAGCTTGTCATGAGCCCAAGGATGGCCCTGCCAGGTTCGTAGCGAACCTACCAGGGTCTTGAGCCAATTCTCCCATAAGGTGAAAATCGGTCGGGAACAAGACCAGTCTTACCAAACTGGCTAAACCTTCTCTCGTGTGCCCTGCAACAAGTTGACAAATCAGTGGTCATTGTGATCAGCCCAGCACAGCTCGAGAATCGTGGATTCCTGTTGCTTGGTTCCGCAGAGGTTGTGGACTCCCCGGGTCCGTTGCACGTTTACCTGCACGGAGTCGTTCAGCTCTGTTCGGCCAGGCCTGGGCCCGAATTGGGTTGTCATGAGCTGGTAACAATATCATGGCACCCTTGCCAGGTAGCGACATGTGCACGGATTAGCATTTCGCTGCGCTGGCAGATTCCTGCGGATCTGGCATTAGCATGGTTGAAGCAGGTGGCAGGCAGGATGATGCAATTCAAAATTTAATTGAATTGCGCCAACCGGGACTGAATTGGTTGGGTGAGAAGAGGGTGGGGACCTGGCCAGTTAAAGGTTTGACCTAAACCACACATGGTTTCCAGAAGTATGTGAAGAAGAATAAACTATTATAGCCCTAAACCCCATGCGTGGGTACCACTCTTGGCTAGAGCTGTGCTATGGAAAACTTGGAAGAGGCTACAACCAAGGCCGAGCAGAGTAGAGTATGGTCCAAGTCGAACAGGTTTAACTCAGACCCCCACTGGTTCTGTTCGATCCATGCGTCCAAGGTGCATCGAAACTTACGAAGAAACCTGGACAATTAGGTCATTTGGAAGAAGGAATGTCATGGTTCCTGCGTCTGGGCTTTCGCGCTCAGATCCGTGCAGATCTGGGATTTTATGCTAAATGTTGTTGCCGAACCGAACCCGAAAAAAAAGTTCAAGTGGAACTGCACTGTTTATGTTTCGACTCGAAGCTTCGACCACAATCGGCGAAGCTTGAACCCCAAACACCACCGTTTTGGTTTACCCGAACCAAACCGGTTTGGCTCGACTTTTGGGCCAGTTCGATCCAGTTCAAGCGGTACTTGCTCAAGCCTAGCTGCAGCTGAGGGCGTGTGGGAAACTAATGGCACAGAGTTTGATGTGTAGCAAAATTTCGAGCCTTCAAAATTTGTTTAGGCCGTTGGGGTTAGTAAACGTAGCTGTTTTTAATAAACGTTTAAGCGTGATAGGATTTGCGGCTCCTGCCACCATCTTAAGTCGACATATTATGCACTTTATTTTTGTCTCCCTCTCCTTATGTCTCCTATGTTCTACCACCTTCTGATTCGTTCTTTTTGTCTTCATCCGTGTACATGTGAAACCTCTGGCACACATTCACCATCAGAAATTATGATAGCAATACTTGGCCTGGGCATCTACTATTTGTCACTTTCATGGCAGTGATGTCAGTTCGAACAACCTCACTGGCCGTCTCCCTCCAACAGTGGGCAATCTCACTCTTCTTTATTACTTGTAAGGAATCTTTGCGTATTAACGTGTTGAACTTTCCACCAGTCTTAATATCAAGCATCTCGCAAAGTGGAGGTGTACAAGACAAGGTACCTACCTATGTAGGTGTTCCAATGGTGTAAGGCAGCCCAGGTTTTATTCCAGCCGCAGGTATGAAGTAAACAAGGTACCTTGTTTTGTTCGATCCATTCCATTTGGTTCCAGGCGCGTCGAACCTTGATCGATCTTGGTTCGTGTCAAGGCGGCAGATGTTTCATGCGGAAACCTGGACAATTAGGTCATTTGGAGGAAGGGATGTCATGGTTCGTGGGTCTGGGATTTCGTGCTCAGATCCTTGCAAATCTAGGAATTTATGCTAAATGCTGTTGCCCGAACCAGTTCAGGTGGGCAAATGTTTCGACTCGAAGCTTCGAACCCTAACACCATGGTTTTGGTTTGGCCCGAACCAAACCGGGTTGGCTCGAATTTTGGGCCAGTTCAATCCAGTTCAAGCGGTACTTGCTCAAGCCTAGCTGCAGCTGAGGGCGTGTGGGAAACTAATGGCACAGAGTTTGATGTGTAGCAAACGCTCTACGCTGTAAATGAAAGAATGAGCTGCAAGCAACTATGTCAATCCAAGTGTCATATATGTCCCACAGGACACGGGTGTCATAGTTCCCTGCTGGGAATCAATGGGTGTTGTCATAACGTGGACACCAACCCGGTTCTTCCAGCGTCTATTTGCAGTGTGGGCCACCCCGGCTTCAACAGCTCAGTTCCGGGCTAATTTGTCATAGCTGGCTGGTGAAAGAATAAGATCACTAACCGACAAGCCGGGCCTCGGCTTGTCAGGCAACTCAATAACTCGGGGCCAGCCGGCAGAGCAGGATTGCTGGCTCGGCTTACGGTGAATCGTGAACCCTAAACTGTTAAACCATACACCCTAAACCGTAAACCTGTTGAAATAGAATTATATCTATTGATAATATCTGCCTGTAGTGTACCTAGTGTAGTTCTCTTGTATGGTGGTGCACCTCTTTCATCTTTGCTTTGCTATATGTACCCACTGTGCTATAGTGAAGCCACCTCATTCTCACTTTCCTTGGTGACAATCCACTCGATACTCTTGGCCTAGGTCCTCCTAAACCCTAACGTTCTTATCTTGACATGGTATCAGAGCGAAGGTCTCGAGTTCGAATCCCGGTGTGTGCACCTCAGGCATCTCAGTGCGGTGTCAGAGGTCCACTTGAGATCCCCGAGTGATCCTAGGGAAGGATTACAGGCACGTTGGCCCGGGGGGTTATGGGAGCACTCACCCGCTACACAAACAAGCTCTTTTATCCCAGTGGTTTGTGGTTGAGATTCTGACAAAACTGTGGACCCTAAGGGGGCAGAGGAAAGGGCGAGAGGGAAGCGGCACAGGAAGGACAGGAAGGAGGAGCAAGAGGGGAGGGGAGTGAGAAGAACGTGGGAGTGGCTGAAGAGGGCACCACAGTGGGCTGTTAATGGCACGCGGTTGAGGAAGGGCGCGCGGCTGAAGCAGGGCACGTGGAGGAAGCAGGGTGCACAACGAAAGCTCAGTGTGCGGACTTCCCCGCTAGTTGCGCGCCCTTTCCTCTGCTCGTACCCTTGAGTGTATATCTCCAGCTATTGCCCTACGCTAATGTCATATATTTTTCTTCCTTGACATCCAGACTTTCTAACATCCTCCTTTCGGCTTTAGCATGATATCAAAGTAGGTTAGAGCGCACGGGTGAGGAGGAGGAGGTGCGCAAAGGGAAAGAGCTGGAATTTCGAGCTTTAGAAATTTGTTCAGGCCACTGGGGTTAGATAACGTAGCTGCATTCAATGAACGTTTAAGCGTGATAGGATTTGCGGCTTCTGCCACAATCGTAAGTTGATATATTATGCATTTTTTATTTGTCTCCCTCTCCTTATGTCTCTTACGTTCTACCACCTTCTGATTCGTTCTTTTGTCTTCATCACTGTACACGTGAAGCCTCTAGCATGCATGCACCATAGAAAATCATGATAGCATTGCTTTGGCCTGGACGTCTACTATTTGTGGTTTTCATGGCAGTGATGTCAGTTCGAACAACCTCACTGGCCGGCTCCCTCCAACAGTGGGCAATCTCACTCTCGTTATTTTGTAATGCATCTTTGCGTATTAACGTGTTGTATTTCCACCATTCTTAATATAATGCATCTCGCAAAGTGGAGGTGTACAAGGTACCGAGGTAGGTGTTTAAATGGTGTAACGCAGCCCATGTTTTATTCCAGCCACATGTATGAAGTAGACAAGGTCCAAAAGGCCAGGTTTTGGAATGGCCCGGCTCACAGCTATTGAACCAGGCTGGTCCACATCAATCCAGCCGAAAAAAAAAAGAGTATATTATACCAAATATTTCGACCTGGAAGACATCTTGACGTGGTAGAATATTGCATTGTGTGACCCTACCTCTCCAAAAGCAAACAGAGAGCATTTCCCATAGATGTGGAACCTGTTTGTGGTTTATAGCCTGAAAGCGCTCCATGTGCACATGCAGGGACATATCTGATACTGGAATCACATGCCCTCCTGACTACAGCAGCTGTGTGGTCCCACAGAACACTTCAAGTTTTTTTTGCAGGCAGTGTGGTTCCTTCTGCACCACATGTGTCAAGCCACCACCAGGTGAGACGCAGCTAGCTGCAATTTGTATTGCCTCGTGCTGAGTGCATGATCACTACATAGCCACCCACAGAACAAGCGTTTCTAGTGTCAGGCATCAGGTATCCTCATGATACGATTTTTTCACTTCTGTTGCATGCCTCCTCTTGAGCTTTACTGAAAAATACCTGTTTCAACCCTTCAATGCCTTCCTTTGCTACCTCTCACTGTGCAAAATGTGCCTGATGCCACATCCACTTTCACCAAGCCCACCGTCATCCCCATTTCTGATTTCCCTTTCCCTTCCTTATCTTTATCTTCCTATCCCATTTTTGTACCTGCCTCATTGACAGTGCCAAAACCTTCTCCAGCGCCAGCACCCTCCCAATCGCTAGCACCAGCACCTTCTCCACCTCCTCCCACTTCAACTCCTAATGCACCCTCCGCCTCTCCCTCCAAAGGAGGGGCGGTTTATCCAGTGAATCCATGGCTGGCATTTCTGCTGCTGGCGTTGTGGCTGTCCTCGTGTTGGTGCTATTGCTGAGCTGGCTGTTGTGGCAGCGATGCCGCACCGAAGAGGTAGCAGGAGGAGGGGATGGCAATGGTAATATTGGAGTAGGCTAGAGTTCACTCTGATACTTATCATGGTGTGATCTTGTTAGAGCAAGTTACAAATTTAGGTTCAGTTTAGTCATAGGTTTTACCTCTGATTGAACACATCATAATTGTAAGAGAAACTTGGGTTAGCATTGACACTTGCCGCAGCCGGGCTGGCCTGGTTCAGAAGAGGCCCGATCAACAAACAACAATAGATAATTCACCACACAAATACAAAGTCCTACAACACACCAACACGCACAGACAAATTAAGCAAAACCAAGGCAAATGGAAGGAATACTAAAGAGCATGGGGTGACCTGGGACGTGTAGATATGGAATTTGAGTACCCTCCCATGATCAAGGTGCCAGGGTACCAGGAAGGGGAGGCATAGGAAGAAGGACACAGGAGAGGAGGAGCGGGTGAAAGGACGCAGCGTAGGAAAGGCTCGTGGAAGGATACAGTGGAGGAAATGTGGGTGAAACGACAAGGCAGACCAGGTGGGGGCCGAGGGGCTGGGGTTTTGGGGACTGTGACAAGCTAGTCGGCCAACACTAACGGGCAGTTCTCACCACTAGGGCCAAGGAGGGAGAAGGGGCGGTGGCAAAGATTCACAGAAGGGCAGAGAGATGAGTCGGGGCGACGGGGTCATGGCCCTGTTGCTCCGGGCCACCTGCTCCGGCCACGTTCTCCACCAATCTGGCTCAGCCTCAGCCAGCGCTAGCTCGGTGCAGCTTCGGTTTGTCAAGGTTGTGTCTGTCCTTTAGAAGAACAGGTTGCGTGCCTGGCAGCAGAGAGGGAGGGTCGCTTCTGCTGCTGCAGGACCACGGGGATGGCCACAGGTGCCAATGAAGCAGCAGGAGGGCTGATGGTGGGGAGGTGTGAACGTGAATCAGGCTCACTTATTACTTCAAAAGGTACACAGGAGCAATTTGGCTAAGTGACGGTCCGTTGTGTTAATGAGAAGTAGTTTACCGACAGGCAGGTGAGCACTTCGGAAACAGGCATTACCACTACTTAAAAAGCCTGTCACCACTGCTGCCTACTCCCCACCACGGTTCTCCCTCTACCCCTCCCGCTCCTACCCCCTTCTCCCTCCCCCTCCTCCATCATTCCCACCCATTCCTCCCTCCCGCTCCTCCCCTCTCCTCCCTCCCTCTTCACCGTCTCTCCCCCTTCCCATTCCATCCCCTTCCTCCCTCCCGTTTCTCAGTGCCTACTTTTCACCCCACCCCCTCCACGCCCCTTCCTCTGACTCCCACCCCTCCGTGCTCCCTCACCGGCACACAGTATCCGATCCATCCTCCTACATGTTTCTTTTCCTCTACTTCGCTCACAGCTCCACCGTGCTCTACCTCAGTATCCTTTGGATTTCTGCCGCTGTGGTTTCATCTCCCAAGCCTCGCATCTCAATTTAGCCTTGCAGCCCAACTATCACCGCGTTACGCTACATGCTAGTCTCATCTCTATACGTTAACCATTCATGCCAATGTGCTCCATCTCTACATCCCTGGCCCTTGTCGCCTCCTGTGATAGATTCTGTCTTGTTTTTTTTGCCGCTGCCCCCTCCCTCCCATGCTTAAATCCTTATATGCGACTACTACCATTGGGTACATGCAGGGGCAGACCAGCCAGTGAATGGAAGATCGTGTGATGATGTGATGGGATGCTTGTGTGATGGTGTGATGTGATGATAAGATCAAGGGACTTGAGTCGTCCATATGGAAAGGGTCGATCCAAGAAAGGACGGGGTGGCGATGGCAGTGGTGGCTAGCCAGGTGACGATGCGAGCAAACACCTATAGGGTAGGTTCGAATCTGACCTCATTGCAGAGGTGAATGATCATTCATCGATGCTACTGGCTGGACTATGCGCACCTGGTGGGCGATTGCGGGAAGGGTGGTCAGGGAAAGAGGGAGGGAGAGAGCAGGGAGGTGGGAGACGTGGGGAGGGTGGAGAGTAGATTTGGGAGTAGGGAGAAAAGGGAGGAACGTTACCATGCAAGTGTATGGATTTAATTGCTCCTGATTTGTAGCTCGTGCGTCGTGCGTGCAGCTAAGAGAATTGGGGCCATGGTGGGGAGGACAGCCAATGAACTGCCCCAAGCTGTTGAACAGCAACCATTGTGGTGCAGGGCACATCCAAAGAAAGGGCGAGAGTGTGATGAAACGTTGGGGTATGGGTTGATGGGGTGAAGGGGAGATGGGATGATGCGATAATCGTGTGATGGGGAAATAGAATCATAGGGTGATGGACGATGAGATCATGGGGCGATGTGATCATGGGGCGATGTGATCATGGGGTGATGTGATCATGGGGTGATGAGATCATGGGGATCTGTAATCATGGGGTTATGTGATCATGGGGTTATGTAATTATGGGGTTTGTAATCATGGGGTAATGAGATCATGGGGTTACTGGAAAAACCAAGTTAGCTAGAGAAGGACTTAGGAGTAGAAGTTACATTATCTCAAGTGAGCTTGCAGGATATACATTCAAGAGAGCGATGAATCAGAAGCAAGATCTATATGGAACAGTGAGACATCTGGCCTAATGGGGTGAGTTGGACCAAGGACCCAACTGGCCTAGTGGGGTGAGTTGGACCAAGGACCCAACTGGCCTAGTGGGGTGAGTTGGACCAAGGACCCAACTGGCCTACTAGTGGGGTGAGTTGGACCAAGGACCCAACTGGCCTAGTGGGGTGAGTTGGACCAAGGACCCAACTGGCCTAGCGGGGTGAGTTGGACCAAGGACCCATCTGGCCTAGCGGGGTGAGTTGGACCAAGGACCCACCTGGCCTAGCGGGGTGAGTTGGACCAAGGACCCAACTGGCATAGCGGGGTGAGTTGGACCAAGGACCCAACTGGCCTAGCGGGGTGAGTTGGACCAAGGACCCAACTGGCCTAGCGGGGTGAGTTGGACCAAGGACCCAACTGGCCTAGCGGGGTGAGTTGGACCAAGGACCCAACTGGCCTAGTGGGGTGAGTTGGACCAAGCACCCAACTGGCCTAGTGGGGTGAGCTGGACCAAGGACCCAACTGGCCTAGTGGGGTGAGCTGGACCAAGGACCCAACTGGCCTAGTGGGGTGAGCTGGACCAAGGACCCAACTGGCCTGGCGGGGTGAGTTGGACCAAGGACCCAACTGGCCTGGCGGGGTGAGTTGGACCAAGGACCCAACTGGCCTAGGGGGGTGAGTTGGACCAAGGACCCAACTGGCCTAGTGGGGTGAGTTGGACCAAGGACCCAACTGGCCTAGTGGGGTGAGTTGGACCAAGGACCCAACTGGCCTAGTGGGGTGAGTTGGACCAAGGACCCAACTGGCCTAGTGGGGGCTGAGTTGGACCAAGGACCCAACTGGCCTAGTGGGGTGAGTTGGACTGCACCCTACTGTGGGAAGTTAGACACCATCCACCTGAGGTGTTTGGCCATCTCTGTAGAGCCGGCTGTCCTTCACAAGGGTAAACCAACACACCAAAGTTGGTCAGGTGTTATACATCTAGAATTGGGTTTACCTCAATCGGGGTGTTTACCCAGTCTACACCTTACACAAGAACTTGCAGGTATGATTACATAACGTAGAAAAATGGTGCAGTGGTGGGGCTGGCATGGGACCAACCACCTCGAGCTGACCAGGCTTGCATGCCGAGTCCTCACACAGCGTGTGTCTGCCCACACAGGGTGTGAGAGCAATTGGGCAGTGAGGGACTTTGTTCACACTGCACGTCGCAACAAGTTGGGGTCCGAGAAATGCAGGGCTATGTTGCAGCATACGCTCAGCAATTTTTTCGTTTCACGTATATGCGTTCACGTATAAACGCAAAAACGTGAAACGTGGACAAATGCGCGATACGGAAAGCCGGGCAGGCAAAAAAAAAAAAAAGTTTGCGCTTTTTCCGTACGCACGTATACCGACATTTCGGGTCGCGTTTTTCCAAACAGGGGACGTGCAAAACCGAGTCGCCACGTTCACCCCACGAACATCAACATTGCGCCCAATCACCCCCAACAACTCGTGACCAACCACAGCACGTCCCCCCACCCCCCAACCAATTCGTGGTAAGTATAATTGATTGACCTCACCTCAACACATTTCTCATCCAGTTGTCATCCCTGTTCAGTGTTGAGCTATGTCTACTCCAGTCCCTTCTCCCGACTCTCAGCCTTCTGGTCCGTCTACTCAGCCTACTGATCGTTCAGCCTCGACCTCGGAGGCGCAATGGCAAGAGGAGGATAGTACTCTTGTCGTTTTGAAGCATTTCAAGGTTCCCATCCGTCTGGACACACTCGGTGCTGTCCGCGTTTGCAAGTATTGCGCCATCGAGTTCAAGGGTGGTGCGTTTCGATGCGCTCAGCATCTCGCGAAATGGAAGGGACAGAGATCTCGCGACGTCCGCCTGTGCGCTAAGGTTCCGCCCGACGTGCGAGCGGCGTTGCGCGCGCATTACGAGAAGAAGGCAGCCAACCGCGACGAAAAAAGGCGGGCCGAGGATGCTGCGCTCGATGCTGTCGTGGGAGGTGCGAAGAAAGGCCGCATCACCGACTTCATTGGCGACGACGCGCAATGCAAGAAGGGCGATGCGGACAACTCCGTCTGTTTGTTCTTCGCCGGCTGTCGCAGGCGAACGTCATGCTGGTCAACGATTCGGGAGCGGTGTTTATCGAGGCTATCGACTACAACATGGAGTAAAAAACTGGCGGCTACATCGCGTCCCTCCTCCGGCCCATCATCGAGAAAGTGGGGCCCGAAAACGTAGTCGCCCTTTGCATGGACGGGGGCTCCAACTACGGGGCCGCCTGCAAGGAGCTGATGGCGGATTGGCCGCACATCAAGTACGTGCCGTGCGCTACGCACGTGCTCGACCTCCTGATGGAGGACGTGGGCAAAATCACGTGGTGCAAGGAGATAGTGGATAGATGCGGGGACATGATCACCTACGTCCGCAACCACCATTTCACCCGCAATTACCTGAGGAGTGGGGCGGTGAAGGGAGGAAAGGGGAAGCAGCTTGTGAAGCCGGCGGGGACCAGGTTCGGCACCAACTACATCGCCCTCTCAAGGCTCGTCCAGCTGCGGTCCACACTGTCGCAGATGGTGCTGAGCGAGGAGTACGCCAACTGGTCGGCGGGGGCTTGGAAGCTGACGGCGGATACGTTCCGCGGCCACGTCATGGACGACGCATGGTGGAAGAATGCTACCTACCTGGTGGAGCTATTGAAGATTCCGTTCAAGGTGATGCGGGCCACGGACAGCAGCGCGAAAGGCATGATGGGAACCATCTACGACCTTATGCTCCAGCTGACCGAGGACGTGAACGCCAAGCTGGAAGCGGGGGAGAAGATTGTGCCGCGGGCGGTTGCGGCTGACATTGGGAAGATTATTAGGCGCCGTTGGGACGAGAGCCTTGCTTGGGCTCTTCACGTCGTGGGGCGGGTCCTGAACCCGGCAAATCAGGAAGAGGGTATTTTCCGCAACGACGTGGAATGTACCCGCATCTTCAAGGCGTTCATCGCACGTCACTACGACGGCAAGACGTTCACCAACAAGGATTGTGAGGAGAGGCGGGCCTCTCTTGTTTTGCAGGAAAGGCTCACGGCCTTCCTCACCCTTGAAGGATCCTTCGGCCTCCCCGAGGCAATTGCCGACAGGGAGGCCGTGAAGGCGGGCAAGCACTCGATGGTGCAGTGGTGGGGATGGCACGGGACTGACCACCCCCACCTGGCCAGCCTTGCGTGCCGTGCCCTGACACAGCCGGTGTCGGCCTCGCCGTGTGAGCGCGGGTGGGCATCGTGGGAGTCGGTGCACACTGCCCGCCGCAACAAGCTAGGCTCGGAGAAGCCCCGAGACCTAGTTTTTGTGACCCACAACTGGCATGTGGTCCACAAGTATCACAAGAGGGGTGAGTCACTGGCGGTGCTTCCGGGCAACATCCCAGAACCCGGTCTGCCGGAGGGATACAACAAGGAGGAGGAAGGGGAGGAGGAGGAGGAGGGGGAGGGGGATGAAGCCGTGCTGGCCGATGAGTACGTGGAGTAAGAAAGGCAGCAGCAGCAGGGTAAGTGGTTAGGGGAGTAGGGGAGTTAGGGGATGTATCATTCAAGTAGTTGCTAGTATGTGTGTACTTGCACTGCATGTTTGTAATGGGGAAAAAAAGTTTCATACGTGGGGAAAAACCCAACTGTGACAGGTCACAATGAACATAGGCAACGTGACTCACCCCCTGATACTTTTTTTCCCCTGCCCGGGAACTATTTTTCCCCTGCCCGGGCGACCGTATTTCGAGCGTATCGTGGGGCGGAAATCCCCCGTCTCACGTACGTACGTGAGCGTATAGTTCGTACGCGACTGGTACGCCAGTCGCGTATTTTGCAACATAGATGCAGGGGCGTCGTGTTTGCTGCGGCACAACTGAAAAGTTGTGCACCACTTCATAAGGGAGATGAGGGGATGGGGGTTCTTTCAGGGAACATTTCTAAACCACCTGTCCCCGAGGGATTCAGAGAGGTTGAGGGTGAGGAGAGGAAGGAGGAGGAGGAGGGGGCTGATGACCTTCTGGCAGATGAGTAGGATTTGGGGTTTAGATGTTGGTGGAGAGTGATTTGTTGCATTGCATGCTTGTAATGGCCTAATTCTCATATATAGAAAACCTTTCACACCCCGACCAGAAACATTCAATACAAAAACCATCTAACCTTACCCGAGACCGATGGTTTTCCCCTACCCGACGGTTTTTACCCTGCCCCTCACAGCGTATTTAGAGCGTTTATAAAACTGGAGATCTGGCGTATCGGTTGTGCAGAGTACATACGCGACTGATACACCATAGACACTACTTTCCAACATAACCTTGAACAAGGGCAGCTCACGGGGCACGGGTTCAGCCAGGTGGGGTGAGAGCACAGGCATGGCTTCAACAAGGGCAGCTCACGGGGCACGGGTTCAGCAAGGTGGGGTGAGAGCACAGGCATGGCTTCAACAAGGCGGTGGAAGTCATCGGGTTGTGGTCAGTCAGCCAGGAGGCAGTCAGTCAGCCATGGTTCAGTCATTCAGTCAGCCCATGCTTCAGTCAGTCAGCCATGGGTCCGTCAGTCAGCGAATGGTCAGTCATTCAGTCAGGCCATGGGTCAGTCAGTCAACATTGGGTCGGTCAGTCAGCCATGGGTCAGTCAGTCAACCATGGGTAGGTCAGTCAGCCATGGATAGGTCAGTCAGCCCTGGGTCAGTCAGTCAGCCATGGGTAAGTCAGTCAGCCATGGGTCAGTCAAACAGCCATGGGTCAGTCAGTCAGCCAATGGTCAGTCAGTCAGCCATGGGTCAGTCAGTCAGCGAATGGTCAGTCATTCAGTCAAGCCATGGGTCAGTCAGTCAACATTGGGTCGATCAGTCAGCCATGGTTCAGTCAGTCAGCATGGGTCAGTCAGTCAACCATGGGTAGGTCAGTCAGGCATGGGTAGGTCAGTTAGCCGTGGGTCAGTCAGTCAGCCATGGGTCAGTCAGTCAGCCATGGGTTAGTCAGTCAGCCATGGGTCAGTCAGTCAGCCAATGGTCAGTCATTCAGCAGCCCATGGGTCAGTCAGTGAACCTTGGGTCAGTCAGTCCGTCATATGTCAGTCTGTCAGCCATGGTTCAGTCAGTTAGCATTGGGCCAGTCAGTCAGCATGGGTCATTCAGTCAACCATGGGTAGGTCAGTCAGCCATGGGTCAGTCAGGTCAGCCATGGGTCGTTCAGTCCTCCACAGAATTTTTTGAGTGCAGTGCTTTACGAGCCCGATGTTAGTTTCTGCCACAAAAAAGGCATATTATTTCTATCTAGAATCCCATGTTGTTTATGACTAAAATTATTCTACACGAGCGCACGACGTGTCATGCATTCAATAGCTGAGAAATTCAGAAAATGAGGTATGTTAAGCACAAAGTATGTGCCCATGAACAAGCCAAAGCTAGAAGTGTACTTAGCCCAATTGTCTCGTTCCATCCATCTGATCGCAAAAGATGTTACCAGTACCCCTTCTAAAACACCTACCAACATGCCCTATTTCCCCATGTATGTTTTCATATGGCACCAACCATTAGTACCAGTAAGGTGCATGCAAAAACAAACTTGATTACGTTGAAGAGCCACTTGGCATGCCCTCGCGCTCCGCACGGGCCATTTCAGCAGTGAAGCTGGAGGAGCCAATGGAACTTTTAATCTCCATGTCAATGCGAGATTTGGCCTCGCCCACATGGCTCTCCTTTGCTCCGAACGCTTCCTGCTTCAACTTCACCAGCTCTCCCAGCACTTGATTCATGGAGGGGCGAGAGGCTGCAGGCATGGCGGTGCAGGAGACGGCAAGGCGAGCCCAGCGCAGCACCAAGTCGTCCGGTGCGTACAATTAGGGGTCCTTAAAGGCCGATACAGCACCGGAGTCCACCAATGGGCCCACCTGTGAGGTTGAATGCATATACCACATGGAATTTGGTCATAGAAAAGGTTCAGAGTTTTACATTAAGAGAGAACCTGTGAAGAATTGTGGACAGCAACGCAGAGATGTGAATGATATGAGGAAGTTGAATGATAGGAAGGTGAATGATTTGAGTGCTACAAAGACTGAGAGCAGAATTATGGGAAGCTGAATCCCATCACATATACACGGTGAGGCAAAATCCCAAGTGTTTGTCTTTGTTAAACTTGGTCTTACTCATTCCATCATGTGTCCTGTTGGAAAAGTAGGTAAAGAAAACATGACCTGGTTTACAGATGTTTGGCTAAGGGCAACAAGAAGACCTTGTGAAATTGGTATTAGCAAGCTAATTCACCTGGCTTTCCCATACCTTGTGTTGCAAGATCTGCCAGCCTTGTATGCTGCTGTTCACTGTTTCTCACCCATTGTTTGAGATTGATATGGTTGTCCTCTGTTACATGCACAGCCTTGCGCGCCGTGATAACCACCAGCATCACCACACCAAAACTGCAACCCAGAATTAAGAATGGCATCATACTTGAAATCATGCTCAATTGTACTAACGTCTTTTAATCACATTGGTATGTTCATTCGTTTTCCCTATCATTGCACAAGGTATCGTCACCCAAGCCCCTATCTCAGGTAAACAAGCACCATCAAGCTACTGGATTGGTCAAACTTGCCTGGAAATGGCTTCCATGTCAGGCATGGACTTTCTTTGAGATGATGCAAAGGTAACGTAGAGCATTGCAAGCCCTAAACCCAAACCCTAATCGCATAAAAGATACAAAAACTGGGAGCCTGTCTGAATAGTACTCTCATGCCAATGTGCTCATCTGTTGAGATTCACGGTTTTCACATGCACCAATCTTCTCACCTGTGCACATCTGCTGCTGGAGTGGCCTTGTGAGAATTGAAATAGGCAGGGTCCACATAGCCTGGTGTTCCCATCACTCGAGTGGCAGCTACAGACGTTCCGATAGCGGTGCCCCCACCAAGCTTCACGAGCCCGAAGTCTGCAATTTTGACCTGCCCATGGACAACAACAGTACTAATGGATGCTATGCGATTTAAAACACTACTTGGTAGTTGCAAACGGATGGATAAGAGAGTAGGCATGTTTCACCACGTAAAGCCATGCTTAGAACTGCATTGACATGCCTGCATTTTTGCATCAAGGAGAATGTTTGCAGGCTTGATGTTGCGATGCACAATGCCGAAGTCATGAAGATACTGCAACCCCTTTGCTACTCCAATTAGAACGTCAAGCCGTTGACGAAGCGAAAGAGGGAGGGAGACACCAGCACCGATCCAGCTCTCAAGGTCGCTGTTGGGCATAAACTCATATACGAGAATCTGCTCCACGAGTCGTGTGGAAAGGTCGAGGACGATACAATAGCCCAACAGACGCACGAGATGCGGATGGTGCTTGCTTGCCATCTCTTTCACCTGAGAGAGAAAACAGTGATCAGATCAACGGAGAATAAATTATCGGACCACCAGTTATGCTTAGAGTTGGCAGAAGAAACTAACAAGAAATGCGCCACTAACATATCAACAGAAACTCACACCATGATACCTCTCTTTGGAAGTCGTTGGTGAGCACTCGAGCTCGTTTGACTGCCCAGGCTTGATTGCAATCGTGGGGCGACACACCCTTGTAGACATCCCCAAAGCTGCCACTTCCTATCCTGTTCCCTGTCAGAAATGAGAAGGAAGGAATGATTGAATTAGCAAGCAGGTGGGTACAAGTAGGAAAACCTAAAAGTGTTGTACCCCATATTGAATACCCCACTACAGCCTACACAGACTATGTCATATAAGTTTGACACACCCCCATAGGCAAAGTGGGGGAGAACAAGAGGTCACAAGACCAGTCAAGAAAAGCAAAACAAGCTCAGGGTGGATCACGACGTCACCACGCATTCTGAGCACAAGCGAATGGCCACAAGGCCAGTTCACATGCAGAGTTATATAAAGGAGAGCAAGCAGTACAGTGATCACAACCTAGCAAGTATAAGCATGCAGGTATATGTATAGAGATCACAGTACAAGCAAAGTCAAGAAGTGAGCAAGTGAGGCCAAGTAGGCACAAGGCCTAGAACAGTACAGAAACGCTGATGATCACAAGGCTGGAGTGCCTTGGTGAAGACATCAGCTGTGTTGGCCTGAGAGGCCACGTAGACAAGACGAAGCTGACCACGCTGCTGCAACTCTCGAGCAAGGAAGTAGCGCAGAGCGATGTGCTTCGTTCTGTGCTCCAGTCTGTGCTCCTGACACAAGGCAATCATGGCCTTGTTGTTGACGTACAGAACTGGAGGAGAACGAGGCGGCTCGCCCAAGTCGGTCAGCAGGTAGGTGAGCCAGCGTAACTCCTGTGCAGCCATGGCCCCTGCGTAGATATCAGCCTCACAACTGGAGCTGAGAACAGAAGACGAGCGGGTAGACCGCCACGAAACAGAGCCGGAGCCAAGGCTGAAGGTGTAACCCTGTGACGACCGCTGCGTAGCCAAGTCGTCAACCCAAGAAGCGTATGCGTGACCAGTGAAGACAACTCGAGCCCGTCCTCCAAGCACGAGCCCCATGCCCGAC